AAAACAAAAGTTTAGCAGGTTTTTCGTGAAAAAAAAAATTTGCAATATTCAGGCTCAGAATGAGCCTGTTCAAAAAAAAAAAAACCAGAGATCATAAGAAAGCTACAAAGCTACACTGGTTTTGCTGCCGTGTGTTTTAAACAGCAGAAGCTTTACAGTCAACTCTAAAAAATATCAACAAACATCTACAATCTTATTTCATGTTTGCCATGATGTTCTCATCAGATCAAAATGTTTAACAAAGCAGGCCTACACGGAGGGCAGAAGGATAGCAGGAAGGACTGATAATAAAAGTGAGTGGGAAATTATCAAAATGCGACCAACAGAGATCTTCTGAAAATGTAGGGGGGAGGAAACTACTTTGTCCGGGACAAAAACATCTGGAAGCAATAGGGACACAAACAAGAGAAGGGGAAAAAAAAAGAACACAAAAAAATATGGAAAAGAAGGGGAGACCCTCATCCAGCAAAGCATTTGCAGATAGGCTCAGGGTGAAGCACAGCCTAATGCTAAGCTTGAGCCTGAGTGTGTTGCTGGATTCCGAGGAGGGAAAACAGTAACAAGAGACAGCAATACCGTAGCAGGTACCCTCCAAGAACTTGCCATCTTCAAATAAACATGACTTTTTAATTTAATTTTAACGAGCTTTCTAGCCCGGCTGTAGAATGCAGCTGAAGGGGACACAGCAGCTCTTGCTAGACCAGCTGCTTCCCGACAGACCCCCGAGGTGGGAAGGGACCATTTCCAGTCGGCTGGTCCCTCACATAGCCCTTTTCATCTTTGTAAATGTAAATGGAGAGTGTGGAGGGAGCTGTTTTGTCTGAGAGAGGTCACTGGTACCTGGTCCCTCGGTGTGGCCTGTGGGAATATGTTTATTCCCACTGAAAACTGGTTTGCCTGTGGAAAGCACCATTTTACTACTGAACTTAGGGAGGAAAAAAAAGACGATAGAAATGTCCTTAGGGCGTTTTCGGTGAGGAACTTTTACACACTTATTCTAAAAGCCCATTAAAAATATACCTAGAAGAAAACACAACAGAGCAAACAAATTGCCCCCAAAAATCATTATTAAAAAGAACAGTAAAAGTAACATTATCAAATTATATATATAAATGTTTTCAATAAAAAAGAAGGAAAAAAGCACACCTACCGCCTGCAGTTCTGGTCAGGTTCTCCCTCCAACCCCCTCCCCCCCCCCCGAAAAAGTAAAAATAAAAAAAAATACAAATAAAATAAATTAACCTTTCCACCAGTCTAGTTCCTAACTGAAACAATTTCTTCCCCTGTTACTCTATGCACTGAATACATCTGTTAGAAGCCTTAAGAAAAAACCCTGCAATCCTTCAGATGAAACTGAAAGTAGGACTTCCCCCCCAATCTTTGTAAACCTGGAATTATTTTAACAGTAGACTTCCTGTGCGTTGGCAGGAGGAGGTGGGTGTCAGGTACAGGTGTCCTTATCAGAAGGTCAGGATGATTCCAGTGCTAACAAAGGGCGTTCGAATCTGGGATTGCTCTGGTTTAAATACATCCCTTTGAGCCTGAAATCAGCTCTTTCTTTCTGAACTGTAACATGAATTGCTTATCGTTTAATTCTTCCTAATGACTCAGATAACATCATTCATTAGCTCTAATAACAATGGCCCTGGCTCACCAGAGTACTTCAGTATGCAAATGGATCATTTAGGCCAGCGGGAATCACAGGGAATCAAAGTTAAATGTGTGTTTTAGTGCTTGGGCAAATGGGATTCCCAATGCACTCAGGGAAGTAGTCATGTTCATAAGATACATACTTAATTATTTATTTTAGGTTTGGGGTTTTTTTAATAAATTGCTGTGGTGGCAAGACACTAGAGCTTACATGTGAACAGAATTTAATCTTCAGCAGCAGGGGCTGAGGAAGGGATGCCAGGTTTGCAGTTGGTAGGAGGTATCCAGGACTGTATATTCTGCCCTTCAGGCAGCTGGGAAACATCCTCCGAAGCCCTCAGTACTTTGCCAAATCTTTATTTCCCTTCAGTGAATGTATTAAAACATGTAACAGTGGAACTGAACCTCTGTGATCCTTATTTTCCATCTGGAAGTACGTCTGCGGAGAGATACCCACAAAAGGGCCTTAATGGGCCAGCAGAAAACATTTCTGGAGGGCTCCAGGCAAAGTACATCCAGTGTGTGCAGTGGAGACCAAAGCACAAGTACAGGAAGCAAAGGAATTAGTCAGTGAAACCAGACTTTTTCCACACTCCACATTTGCCTCCTTTGAACACATAGTTCATGCCTTCAAAATCCAGAGCAGTTAAAAAAAATACCCAAAAAACAAAGTCATTTCCTTATAATTTCACAGGAGAAGAAAGTTTGTGATGAAAAGGTTAAAGATGGAATCATCAGTGATACAGGTGGAAGTCTGTCACCTGGTAACCAGAAACGAAAGCAAAAAGTGTGATCGTGTCCTCTCTGAGCAGCACTCTGAGCTGAACACGGGGGGTTCTCTGCTTCTCCTAAAGAGAATCGTTCAAGAAAGATTTCTCTCAGATCAAAGGATTCCCCTCCCCCCCCCCCCCCCCCCCCGAAATATTGTCCATGTCTTGCACTCATTTATGCAGCCGCTGCTGGAAAACGAGCTTAATTCTTCATCTGAAGAGTCTGACCACAAAAGTCGAATGAAGCGAAAATGACCAAAGGAAAAGAATATAAATGGTGTCATTTTCGACCCCTGCCTCTGGCCTCTGGGAGAAGAGAGAGCAAAGCAGAAAGCGCTGGCATGCCGAGCTCCCGCAGCCCCAAGCAGGCACATTCCTGGTGCGCAGCTCAACAACTCTTCCCAGGCTTCAGGGAGGCAACTTGCAAAACATCTCCAGCAAATCTTCAGGAAGGTCCTCCTTCTCCTTTCACTCTGCTGCCATTTCTCAAGCTTCTCCACCCTCAGACTCACTTTCTGGCTATCAGCCAAGGAGTTTGACCCTTGAAGTGGCAGACAAAGTGTTTCATGTGAAAACAGCCAGGCAGAATCAACAGTAATCAGGTTACAGGTTTTAGTAGGGACAGACCCTGAAAGGAAACTGTCACACTCAGGGTGGTGCAAACCCCGCTGCCACCGTTTGGGTTTCTCTTGACATGCAAAGTGCTCAGGTTTGGGAAGAGCAGCGGATCAGTGTGGTGTCACTGACCCTCGGTCTATCCCAGTGGCTGATGGGATTGTGTTAGTACGGGGGCTGTAGGAAGAGCAATCCAAAATGTTCACTCATCTACTTCAGTTAAAATCCCAGGCTGTGGCTGCAGCAACGGCAGGGAACATTTGCCACCACGTTCCCACCTTTAGGACAGGTGAGTGGGTACCTTACACATTTCCCCCAGAAACAGATAAGTCTTTGCTGACCCAAGTCAGGTACTTTCAAGAGTTCTGGCAACTACATTTCAAGGCCTCCTGCACCTCAGGCAAGGGCTTTCTCACAAATGTATCAGTCAAAAAACAGCTCAAGAAATAAAACAGGTACAGTATTACCTCAGAAGTCCTTGACCTTTCAGTAGCTGTGCCAGGGCAACGTTACAGACGTGCACTTTGCTTTTGGATCAGATAAAACCAAGCAACAACAATTCCATGCAGTGCAATCACAAATACCAGCTACAAAACAAAAGCACTCTACAGAGACCAAAGGGGACAGGAAGCATTGGCAGGTTCTCTTAGGGATCTGTAAGTTTTCAAGGATTAAGGATAGCCAGCATTTTTAGAAGGGGTGAAGCATTCAAACATTCTACCTTGCAGCTGAACGCTTCAAGATCAGAGTAGAAATTCACTGCTGCTACAAACTCCCAAACCCAAAGCACCTCCAGTGTACCCATCTGGGTCTTTAGGAATTGCTTTGTTTAACAAGTGAGCAATTAAAACACGACTGGAACACTGGCTGTTCCAATTAGCTCAGCTCCACAGCTGCAAAGCCTTGTAACAGGGAGCTGGGGCTTATATTAACGATAGCTATTACTGAGAAAACCAACAAGAATCCCTCATGGCTCTTGTGGTTCATTTTCCTTCTGTGCCATTTCAGCTCCAGTACCCCAAGCATCTCACAAAAACATCATGCATGGAAAAGTTCCATCCCAAGGACAATGTTGGCATGAGAAGAAATGGTTGTAAATACCATGAATTAGTTTAGGTTGAAAGTTGCAAGGAGTTTCCTAACCGCGAGAGCACTTGAGTCGGAACAGCCTGCGGGGTGGGGAGGGAGGGGACACAGGCAGAGAAACCTCACTGGTTTTTAGATGAAATTCAATAAATTTCTGAAAGGGTGAGGTGACAGATGGGTTGCAGCAGTCAGGGGCTGCACTGGGTTCCTTGGGCAGTCCCTGTGTACCAGGGAAGTACATCCCTTATACCCTGTCACTTGACTCTGATGGTGCTAAAAGACTGTATGGAATCATCTGGAAAATAACTAATGAATGGTTTATGAACAGATGAATAATTGAGCAGCGTAGCCGAGTACAGAAGGGGTGGTGGTGGGGACCACTCCAGCTGGCACAGCTGCAGCCAGGAGAAGCCCAGCTCCTGTCTCAGTGGTGGCATCACACAAAGAGCAGGACTTGAGTGGATCAGGCTCACTAATGAACCACCACTCACGTTTCTCCCTTGGGATCGTTAAACATGGTGGCTTCCCCCTGAATCTCCTGGGTTGCCCACTGCCTTTCCCCCTACGTGAAGGGCCAATGCCAGTGGACGTGTTTTAGGGAATGGATTTAGGCTTCCACTCATTTTCTAAGGAAAGCATATTGCGATAGTCACTTTAGCCTGGCAGTACTTTCCTTTCTGGGTAGTTTAGACTTGAGACATTAACAAGGGTAGGTCAGGACGGATAATTAAGATGTACAGATGCAAATTGTAATGGCAAATCTGCATGTGACCTTTGGTTAATGTTTTGAAAAGCCATATGGATTGATTTCTCTAACAAACATTCATTAGGATATCATCGAGGAATGCTGCATTATGCTTAATTTTAAATGAGGTTTTCACTGAGCTACTTGCACGCCTACAATTTAGAAAGGGGTCAGAATTTCTTGCCAGCCAGAGCTCATTGTCACGAGCGTTATTCCAGCCCATGGGAGGATAATTATAAATCATGGAGTCTTTACATTCCCAGTGCACGGTGACTACCAGCAGGTTTTTCAGCAACACTTTAATTCAGTCACAACAAAACTGTTTATATTTCACTTTAATAAAAAATACATAATATTTTGAAATATTCTGGAATGACCCAGCTTGGAAAATGAAAATGACCTTTAAATCTATACAGGGCAGTTCCTTCGGGCATCTTTAATGTAATAATTTATTAAGTTCCTATATTCATCACGTGTGCACAAGTATCATGTAAATATTACAGCTGTACTCCATGACAAAACAAGCATAATGCAGACATAGAATCATACAGAGAACTGACAAACAGGGGGAAAAAATCTAGTATTTTCTGTACAAAAAAATATGCAGCTTTTTGATAATTTGTAAAAATGCATAACTTTTGGCATTTTGGAGAAGAACACTGTATAAAAATAAATATCCTATGTACAGTAACACACACAGGCCAGTCCAGGTTAGAATCATCACTGCAAAAGAAAACAAACGAGTGTTAGTGACAACTCAATACCAAGTGTTAATGCCAGCTCACAGGGCGTGGAGGGAAGGACAGCATTAGAGAAGCTGGTTCCAGGAGGAAGAGCAATGGGAATCTCAGCAGGGATCCTTTCCACTTCCCTGAGTGAGGGTGGGAGGTTCAGCTTGGGCTGACTCTGCCTCCACCATCTTCCCACCACTGCAGCTTGAGGACCTGGCATTTACACCCACAACAGGTGCTGAAGGTGGGCCAGACCCCAGGGGGTCTGAGGGAATCCATGTGGAAATCTCATCTTTGTGTAAGGATTAGAGCACTTTGGGGCCAGGCAGCTCAAAGGCCACACATACAGTTCTCTCCTTTGTAGCAGATAGAGCTGTACCGTGATACGCAAACAAGGAGGAGTTTTGGTTGCTGCTTTTCAGCTGTTGTCCTAGTTAGAACAGCTGGGACCAGTTCATCACTGGATGGGTGTAACCCAAAACTGTGTATTCTACAGCCTTCCATGCCATTTCCCAAAAACTGTTATCAATAGATTATTTACACCCTCTGCCCAGAGCAGCCCTGACTCCTCAGGCTATAAACTGGGTGTTAAGAGGCCTTTGAGATAGGAGGATGTTCCTTTCCTCGCACCCATTGTGGAACTCCCCGCCCTGAGGGAGGTACTGGGCATTCCTGCCTGAACTGGAAGATAGATAATCTTGGAGTCTTGGGACTTTTTTAACCACTTGTGGGATCCAGAGGAAGACTGCAGATCACCACTCTTGACCAGACTGCAACAGCACCCTCACCAACAGGTTTTTCCCTCTCCTTTTACTTTGGACTCAGGGGGCCCAACGAACACCACTCTGTTCATGCCCCAGGGTGCTGGGTTATACATTTGTGTTTTGTGGGTTAAAACCAACTGTTTGTCTGTATAATCGTATTTATTGTATTATTTTATTAAATTGTTATTCTGATTTATAATCTCTCCTTTGAGTTGAGTTCATTTCCCCTGCTGGTTTACCTTTAAACCAGCACAGGGCTACAGTCCTGGAAATCCCATCCATGCCTCCACACCTCTTTTGTTCTTAACCAGACTCATTGGAAAACACTAGCAGAACACACGGCACTGCCAACTCAGCACAGCAGCATTTCCAAGATTATTTTACCTTATTCCAGCAGCCTTGAACTGGAAGCCCATCTTCCCCCTGAAAAAGAGATGGATGAAATAGCAGTTTAGACACAGACAGTGGTGCAGAGATGGAGGAAAGAAGATGTGGGTTAACTATAACAGTTGCAACAAACAGTGTGAATCAGGGCTGGAGGAATAGTCTGAGATATTCCTCATCCTTTTGGAGTGACCCAGACTTCTGGCTCAAAGAACCTGAAGCAAGGGCTGGGACTGCAGAGGGCAGAGGCCTCAGGCTATGCAAGGGACTTACACACATGAGGTCTGTAGGCTTGTTCTCGTTCTTCCTCAAGGAATAGTTTATCCAGGCTTCCGTGAAGGAAGGAGGAAGGAAGGCAGAGGAAAGTGTGAGGTGGTGGGTCTGTGTCTTAATGCTTGGCTCTGTAGTGCTGAGGTTATAAGCAAACCCCAGAGTCAGCACTAACCTCTGATCCTGAGGAGGGTCTATAAAAAACCTCCGTTTCCTTTCTGCCCTGTTTGCTAAAGGGTTTTGCTTTGTCATGTGAGATCCTGCCCAGCTGTCCCCTCTTGCCTCTGAGGAGATCCCGCTCCAGAGAAATTAGGAAGGCAAGCAGCTGGGCAGCGCCTGTGCTGGTTCGGGATGTCTCAGCTGACTCCCTGAAAAGGGTCCTGGGCTTCAATAACAGCAGTGGGATTTCTGTGAATATTCCCCAGCACCTCTGCAACTCCGACGTCTTGGGCTGCACAGCCCCAGGTGGGTGTGTTGTTGTCATTATTATTTTTTAATTTTTGTTTGACGTTGAAGAAGGTTGGACGCTTTAAGGGCCGTGCTACTAAAAGATGGAGACCCCATGGTTGGGAAAGGCTTTTGTGAGTGGCTGCCATTCATATCATCTCTGTGAAGCCCTGTTTGACAGGAGAAAACAGGATGTTATGTCAGTGCTAAGGTGCTCTTGAGCAGGAGGTGAAGTCAGAGGTAAGGAGATACATCTCTGACATGAGAAATCAAACACTTGTGCTGTGTCCATGTGGCCCATTTATAGGCTATCACTATTCCCCAGGAAAACCAAAACCAATACAAACAGAAAAGCAAATGCACAGTAGTATACTGAGAAACGAACTATTTAACAGAGATGCACTTTCAGGGGCCTGATGAACTGAACGTTGCCACAACAATATTGCTTTTCAAATGTATTTTTTGGACTGTGGTCTCCTTGTACTGTTTCCTCCTCTTCCCTCCCCATGTGGAAATATGGAGTTACCAGTTAATTACTGGGCATATTGCGGTGTTCCCATTGGTACACTGATGGTGGTAGGAATGACTGGTGTAGTGCAGCGCAGGAGGAGATGGGAAGTTAGGTGTATGAAGGAATGGGAGGCCAGGGAGGTACAGCTTAGGGATCAAAGGAAGACCAGGGTCACGAGGAAGTGTTTGTTGCAGGCGAATGTGCTGAGAATGGAAACATGACATGCTTATTAGCATCAAGGATCTCCTTCCACATATCTCAGATGTGCAAAGCGTTAGTTCACAGCCTCCATAAGTTACATACGTGGATGTGTCAGCTGGATGCTAAGCTTTTAACCTAGTTGGATCCAAAAACATGCTTATTCACGTTCCCAAGCTAGCTCGCATGCCAGAACACTATATATAAAAAAATAATGGCATCTGTATTTCATCAGATTTTCTGGCAAGTTTCCCTTAACAAAAATAGGATTGACAAGAAGTGTGTGTTCCAACATGGCCATGTGGGGTGAATCCTCACTGGGAGCAGTGACACAAACAGAGGGGTGGTCTGCCAGGCACCCGTGGAATCCTTACAGGGACTGGGAATCAGGTGCCTTACTCAGCCAAAACTTACTCCATAGTAACCTGGCTATGACCATCAGGAGGCAGAACACATGGCCCTGTGGTTTTCCTCCTTTGTGGGCCGTTCTGGGCAGGTCTGGTTTCACCTGTGGGACTGGCCCAAGTTTCTTTCTACTACCCAGAATTTACAGAGCAGCAACTGAGACTTTACCAGTGGCCACTGCAAGAGTCAGTGCCCCAAAGAGGACACAGCAGTGCCCAACGGAGGGGGTGCTGGGAGGAAAACTGGTTAGCTCTTCACAAAGCTCAAATAACAAAGGCTTTTGATGGCAATTTCACAGCTTTTTTTCTCCCTGGGAGAACTAAGAAAACCTTCCAAACTAAATGTGGGTATTTGTTTTGGGATGCATTTTTCCAGCTAGCTGAACTAACAGATCTTCCATCCCTTGTAAATGGCATCAAACAGCCTTAAGGGAGCTTAGACAGACCATCCTCAAGCAAACTTTGTCATGCCAAATAGGCCAGAAGGGCAGTAGTTTCTGTGTATCATGGAGATGTTGAGACTGTTGTAGGGAGCAAAAACCTCACCTGAACGCTGCATCTTCAGAAAATCTCAGAGAAAATTAATAAATTGGTGATGTTTAGGGGGACACTTTGAAATCAGTTGAGATAAAGTGTTCCTCAAGACCTTTGTCTTACGGCACTTGGGCTAGATCAGGCACTAGTACAATAATCATTTTATTACTTTAGTTGGATACTGGGAAACACGCAAGTTTTTTTGCCACTATGAGTACAATTTGGACTTCTGGGGAGAGTCATATATAGGAATTATCTCGCAGGGAGGCTAAGTGTCCATTTAATATGTTTCACATGGGCTTGCTAACAGGATAACTATTCTTTTCAGTCATCTTATTGTAGGGGGTGACTGAGGCAATACAGAGCCACATCAGGCCGTGCCTACCACACACAAGCACTTAAAAACAGAGTTAATGAAGGACACGAGCATCACAGCTCCTTGCAAGGAAGCAAAGCCAGTGCAGAGCTGGATCTGCATAGGCTGATTTAGTGGAAGTTGCCAAAGGGAAGGCAAAGGAAGAAGTGAAGTAGTTGTAAATAAATCTGCATTCCCACTATTTTTCCTCATGCCACAAAGTAGTGCTGGCAGCAGCTGGGAATCACAGCATGAAGGGAAGGGCCTGGTTCTAACAGCAGCAATGTGAGGAAGGGAGGATGGAGACAGGTAAGGAAGGAGCTGCCAGGTGTTTCTAGGGCATGCAGCTATTTGGAGGTATCAGAAATAGCACCCAAGACCCAAAAAGCAAACGAGCATGCAGGAAAGGGAAGGTAGGCCATACCAATGGGCATGGGGCATCCAGGCCGTCCAGCCCAGGTAACCCCGGCTCACCCTTCTCGCCTTTAAAACCTCGGAGACCCTGTTCATGAAATCAACCACTGTTGTTATTTCAGTCACTGCCAGCTCCCTGTCACGGGGGGTGGCCGAGCCCCCACCGGGACCCTCACAGGGCACTCTGCTGCACACCCAGCACACAGCTGTCTCCACACTTAGATAATCAGCAGCACCAGCAGTTTCCTTTTGGGTTTTCCACGATCTGCGAGCCAGGAGATGCTTCTCTGAGCTGAAGCTGAGAGGATGGGAACGGCATTTCCTCAGTTTCAGAATCATCCCTTCCTCTGATCCTCACTAGGAAACCCAGCAGCTGGATTTCTAGCTGCATGATCCACAGGTACTCCTGGGATTTGTGGCACTGCTACAGATTTTTGGCAGAATTCGCTGCAGCATATGAGTTTAGATAAAAGTGTACGCATATTCCTATATTTATTAATTTGCCTAGATTTGTAGCCAATCTGTTTTGACAGACACACATCCCATTTAGGATAAGTGAGATTTGTTTTTCCTCTGGGTGCTGCAGCTCAAGTGCCCTGTGTGCTCTCAGGCCGTCCCATCAGCTGGCCGTTATTCCGAGGCAGGGGAACCAGCATTCCAGTTTTGCCATCTCGTAGACAGGATCACACTGACCATCTCAGAGAAGAGCTGCAACTGGCAGCAAAGGAGACAGGGCTCTATCCACAAAGGAGAAAGCCCTGGGCTCCCAGCACATGGGACACCCCCATGTACCCCAAACCTCAGTGGGCTCTGGAAGAGGAAGGAACATAACCGTGGTCACTCAGAGGATCGGGGGTTCTCCCCCTGGAGAAAGCAGCTTTGCCACAGGCTGAGGTGGGAACCCAGCCAGGCCTTATCCAAGTGTTGTACTTTTGCAAGACCATTATTTATGTTATGATTTCCTTCTGTCTTCCCCATCAACACATCTTAAAACAATACAGTTGATGAAACAGAACATACCAACGGACAGGGTGCATCTAATCCAGGCGCTCCTTGGTCTCCCTTATCCCCTTTAGACCCTCTAGAGCCTTTCTTGCCCCTCTCCCCCTGTAAATAATAGTTTAGTCCGAGAAAAAAAGAATACACAAAAGCTTTAGGATCATCCATTTCAAACAAATGTCAGCGATAGTTTAAAAAAAAGATAAACATTTAGGAAACATTTTAAAAGAAGAAAAATCTCCATTTGAGATGTTAAGTGAAGAGCTGCTAAGCTGTAACTGAGCTGCATAAACACACTGGCTGTGGCTGCAGTCCCACATTGACAGACTGGGAGGGCTCAGCATCAAAGGGATCATCAGAGGACTTCTTGGGGCTTCCCACACTCCAGAGAGAGGTACATCAGGGAACATGCTGACCCCAGACACACAGGATGGGCAAACACCCCTCTGGCCAGCAATGTGCCACCTCATCTCAATCTGCAGCTGGCTGGGAAGGTCCCTCCTCTGCCACTCCAGCTCTGGGATGGCACTAAGATGCTTTTCTTACCACTCTGAATTCTCATTCTTAACGAAAGTCTCACTCGGAGAACTCTCTGCCAGGGAATAAAGGAAGTACTCAGCCCTGAGAGTCCATACAACCTGGATGCCCCTTAGGATGCTCTGAGTAGTGCTCTCCCAAAAAACCTGTTAGACCAGGGACTAGAGCAGCCACAGGGCAGCAGCTGCTCCCTGACCCTCTTACCTGGCAGCACAAGGGTATAGCATGGTATTCGCCAGTTACATCTATATACCAAATCTTTACGTATAACACGAAATCCTCAGAGCTGCTGAGCATGAAACAGGGGAAGGGGCTGCTGCACAGGGAACTGAACTCTGAACTTGTGGGGAGCGTTTAAGGAATTAAGGGATAAAGTCAGACAGCATGGGCTGCTGTTTCTTTAAAAAAAAAAAAAAAAAGGTGTTAAACCCAAAGCTGGCAGGAGAAATGGATGGGAGAGGAGAGGCAATGAGGAGAAGTCACCCAGAGCCAAGCGCAGGAATGGAGAGGATAATCCAGGAAAAGTGCGCCATGGGTTGCTCTGGAGGAAGGAGGAAGGAACCAGGAAGAAAGGCGGAACAGGATGGAGGGATAAAGGGGACAAAGGTGGACCTGTAGGAGCGAGGAAGAGGCACATACACACAAGAAAAAAAACAACACAGGCATTAAAATAAGAGTGAAGGTATCAGGTTGGCAGTACGAGTTCAGGGGTCCCACTTTTTCAGCTGGGTTACACAAAACTCTGCCTGTTCCCACCCCTACCCAGGGCACAACCACAACCCGAGGCACAGCTACACTCGTCTCCCACTCGGAGCAGAGGGCAGCAGGAACATTTCTGGGGTTTAAAGAGCCCTGCTCTGCCTAAAGGAACAGACAGGATTTTGGCAAATTGCCTGGGACTTTTGGAGGAGTAAGGGGAATCCCCTCTACTCAGTGGGAAAAGGGGTATTTTCTAGGATCCCATCTGCTAAAATATCACACTTGCCCATTTACACTCAAGTTTCTCAAACTTTTTCATCATTGCAAATTATGGGTTGCAGTGATGCAAAGTGCATGCACATTTCAAGGGGCCAGCACAACCTCCCACTCGTGCTTTCGAACTCATTCTCTACAAGGAATTGCAATTTCTCCCAGTTTCACTTGCTTTTATGCCAGAGCTCAGAAAAATTCCATCTACAGCTAATGACAGATCCTTCTGTAACTAAGACACCCAGTCTAAAAACCAACTGAAAAAGTCTAGGAATTAAAAGTTACTTTTTGTTTAGAAGCCACACAAACAAAACAAAACAAAACACATGTTAGGGAAGAGGAAGTTAAGAAGCAAAGCCAGAAATGCAATGATTAAAAAAGGGGAGAACTTTGGGGCTCCCTTGAACCTTTCTCCCCTAGTTTAAGATGCCAGTTGGCTGCTTCTTTACAAAACTGCCCTTTCTGTGCAAAGTAAGGTCAGAAATCCATTGCAGATGGAAGACTCACTATGTATCAAAAGCAAACCCATATAATGAAATCACCACATGGGCACATGCACTATCAAAATTTATGTTTTCAGATAAACTCAGGTGATACCAGAGTCATATGAAGAGTTGTGTGAGTACACACACTTGTACTAATATTGAACTGCTTGACATTAAGACAATTGTTATCTTACAAAGACTCGAATCCAGAAGTCATTTGTATTTCTAAATATAAATTATATTCAACTATAGCTCTCAAGTGTCTTTATCAAAAAGATTCAGAGCTTTAACAGGCAAGAAAACCTGATGAAAAAGAAGGAGCTTCTCAACATACACTTCTTGGTAATATTTATCTTTCTATTAACACGGGTGGTACAATGGAAAGTCTGCCATTCATGTTACTGGTTTTGACCCAGCTCTTCACCATCATATCTATTCAGGGTAATGCCTGAAGAGATTTCATGTCTGACTCTTTAAGGCAGGCAAATTTAATTTATCTTTTCCAAATTTCCATCTTCCAAATTCTCTGGAGGAGTGTTTGCTAGAGGACAACCTTCTTTTTCATGCTTCAGGGGGAATTTAAAAGTACCAAAATAAGATTTGTGGCTGCACCTCAGCTAATTCTCATGGGAATTCACACACATCAGTAAGTAGATAAGAAGGATTTCCTAAAGCACACCACTCTGGCCTAACTGAACTACACATGAAGTCCCATGCTTTGGTGAGAACAGAGCTGTGACAGCAATGAACACATTAGAAAATCCCTCCTTCAGCCTTCAGATAGATGTGCCACAATGTCCTAGGTGATGGGACAAGCTACAGGTATCACCTTCTAAAATCCAGGTATGCAAAGTCACTCGTGTGAAGGTCTAGCAGACAAACACATGCTGGCTACTAGAGGTGCTCAGAGTTAACTGGGCTGTCCCTGTGTAAAGGTGTTAGTAATTAAATACAAGAAGTTTGCCTGGTAACTTACCCGGATTCCTTTGTCACCAGGCAGACCTTGTAAACCCTGAAATGCATCAACATAAAATATTTTAAAACAAGTAGGTCCCACTGTATTCCCACTCAAAAAGAAGAATGTGTGCTCAGGGATTTGGGGTTTTTTCCACTTATGTTACAAACAAACAAAACTTTTCCAGCAGACAACCTCCGCTCCATCAGACCATCCAGGCTGTAACAGCACTACTCCTCTAAGGGTTCTTCAGATAAAAAACAAACTAGTTTAGAGAAGGCAGTCCCTGATAAAAGCAGTAAACTTCCTTTTTTGTGTTAAGCAACAAAGCAGCTTCATGATTACATTACACTAGAGTTCCAACACTGGCCCCGTTTTTCCAAAAGCAATCCCAAACAGTGGAATTTGTTAACCTCACTGGAGGCAGCTTTTGTCCCTGCAATGACAGGACAGGGCTCTCCCAGCCAGGTTGTGAAAGCAGATGTGCTCCAAAGCAGCATTTTGGACTAAAATACCTATCCTGGGAGCCCCACTCAGCTTCTTTTGGTAGCTTGAGGACCAAGGTGAATTAACAATTTCCCTTCAGCTTCCTCCTCCTCCCTCTGAGTCACTGCTCTGGAGCTCTTTCTGTCGCTCCCGTAGTGAGCAAAGGTTTGTAACTGGAGTTACACTCAACCCAGCTGTGATTGCAAACACTGGATTACTGCAGCATCTTCAGCTGTCAGTGATACAGGCCCTGTAGATAAATCCCTTGTATGCCCATACTTACAGGAAGCCCTGCTGGCCCCATTGGTCCTGCAACTCCAGGATCTCCTTTACTGCCCTGAAATGGAGACAAAAGAGTAGAAATTGCTACGTTCCTACTCAGTACAAATAGGGAGCAAAGCACTAGAGAAGAAAAAGCAAAGGATGCAATTCAAAGCACCTAAAACCTCCAAGGATGAGGCACTCAAATATCAAAGAGGCCCAGCTGAGAGCCTTGTATGCACAAGGAGAGGGCAGTTCCATCTCTGGAAAAGCCTAGATCTCCTCTATTCCTCAGAGCTGTCACATCTTCAGAGAAGTTACAGAGCATCAGTCAGTTCTGAAGCAAACTCACCCTTTCTCCTTTTGGTCCTGCTGGTCCTGAAACCCCAATTGGTCCTGGAGTACCCTGCAGTTGTAGGAAGGAAAACACATCAGGATGCTTTTATTCAAGGGCCTCATTAAAGCCAGGAGACACCGCTGCTCCCTGAGGAAAAGCACAGCTTGGAAGGACAGTCTGGTGGTGGAGGGCACCTCGCACCACTACAGCTTTCAGTGTTGGTGGTGATCTGAAGTAGTTGGTACAGGCAGTTTGAACAACATGGGAACTGCTAAGTTAGATCACACCAGCACCACTGTACAGAGCCTTATTTTTAATTTTGAAGTTTTCCCTTGACAATTGTTTCAGCAGGCATTTCTACCAACTCCACAGACAGGATTTCTTTCTCTCTAGTTTATATCAGACAAGGCTGAAAGCTGTAGCAGAATAAAGGCCATTTAGAATTATGTTAGGCAATTCTCCTTTATTTCCTTATTTTCCCTTTGCCCCCCCCCCCAAATCAGCAGAGCTGAGCAAAATGGAAAGCGTCCGGTTACGTGGTGGCAGGCAGCCAGTGAGTTGTGCATGCAAGGTGACAGACCCCGTGGTGCAGCGAGGAATGCAGGGGTGCACAGGCAGAGATGTGAACTAAGAGGGGTACCCTCCAGTCCCTCTGTTCCCTCTTTGCCATTCCTGTCACTCCACCAGGCTCCCAGTCGTGCCAACAGGAAAACCCAGCGTTGTTCCTAACCCTTTGACACAGGGGCCATCTCCCACCAGCATACCAAACTTCTTTCCCAGTGCTCCTGAAACTTGCTGGAGCTTTGGGAAATGAATCAGCCAAAGCTGATCTTTAATGTGGGCAGTGCAGCAGTTCAGCAATAGTCCTTCTGGCTAAGAACAGGATTTGGGCACTTCCAACTCTTTATAGACTCCCTGAACTCCATCCATGCTTTGCTAACCACACAGGTATGGATCTACACTTCCATCATGGAGCCTCGAAAAAGGGATACTTTTGAGGCATATTACCTGCCTCCTAGGAAGAACCAAGGCTTGAGAAGTCTTTTTCTAAAAGCCTTAAGGCAAAGGGGTTTGCATTTTTTAACATCAGCCTGCAATCCTTAGTCACTGAAGTAACCCCTCCGATGTGAGCAGGATGATTCATGTGGATCAGGAGAGGTTTTCAGACAAGTTAAGATCTGCAGAATACAAGTGGAGGAGTAGCTCATGTAGCACACAACTTCAGTGCAGTGAAGGAAGTAAGAAAAATCGGGCTCTCCTTGAATTCATACAATCATGGAAATCTTAATTGCCTGCACTTCGGCATCACTCAGTGCCTTGGAATACACTGAGGTCTCCCTTGCACATCTATAAAATTAAATCTACAATATCCCCAAACAAGCGAGTGTATAAGCTGCCATTCAGGTTCTGTTCAGAAGTCAGAGCAGCTGACACAAACGTTCCTGCTCACAGCACAAAACGCTCCGGCGTTATTACACCTCAGACAAAACTGAAGAGCTCCTGCTGTGTAAAGGCAGCAAGCAAGGTTACCACGGAGAACTACAGGACAGAGACCCCTCAGGACAGAGAGGACAGGAGAACAGAACATCATGGAACCATGCAGAGGTTTCATTCATCTTGTTACTGAGGCAAAGTGGAACAAGGCAGCTGTGATCCCAGGATCCAGACAGACTCATAGCATCAAAAAAAGACAAGTGTGTGACATCACTCCCCAGTCTAAGTTTAGCCACCCTCCCAAGCCTGCTTTGGAACAAATTAAGGTTATTCCTGGTGTAAACTAGAACTGGGCTGGAAGACACAAAACAAATCATGGAACTGGGGAGGAGGAACATAGGGCAATGGAGAAATGGAACTCACCGGTGGTCCAGGCCTGCCGTCTAAACCTGAAGCACCCTGAACAGACGGGGAGGGTTCACAAAAACAAGGCAGGAGGAGAGGGGAGGGGAGAGGTGAGTGAAGCAGTGACTTGAGACAAACATACACTTGCAATTAACAAAAATTAAGATCTCAAGGACAGGTGATGGTACTTACAAGCAAACCAACAAAAACACAGAAACACTGAATACATATAACATTGACCTGCAACTTTTAGATCCTCTTAAAGAGGGTAAATTTCCTTCTCTCAATGCCACCAAGAAAACTCCTGGGGAAGCAGCTGTTCTGTGACAGATCATGAAAAGGACAATGTGACAGCAGAGTTGGAACCTGCATTGCCATAAAGAAGCCCAAGGCTGTTGAAATTCTGGCATCATGTCAAGCCCTTAGTCACAGAGGAAAAGGCAACAGATCCAGCTGCACGATTTTACAGAGTCTGAAATAGTTCAGTACATGTCTGGCACTGCATTTAGTTTTACAGGCTGAAGACACACAGGATCAGGCATGAAAAAGCTTAGGAACAGAGTTCAGTGGCTCTGAGGTGGGACACAAGGTCCACAGTGTCTGATCTTAGCAGCAGCTCAGTAACTGTGCTTCCTGGTTGGCCAGCTGATAGTGCTGATCCAAACACAAAATATTTCCCAGAGGACACTTCTGAGCCTTCCCCCCCTCTACAGCTCAGGAAGAGTGACGCGAGAAGCCAAGGGACCCTGGGGGCTAATGGGGCTCTAGGAGAAGCAGCCAGCACATTCCCTGCCATGCTGGTGAGCTTCTCAGGACAATTGCTGGGGCAAATTCTTCTCAGACTGTCACAAGGATCTCCTTCCCCTGTCCAGATACCCCACAGCCTTGAGGGAATAACCATCTACACAGAAAGCTTCTGTTTCTATTTCTCGTGGGACTGGGATCTGCCTTCTCACTGCAGCACAATCCTCTGGATTTGATCATAGAATCACAGAATCATGGAATCAGCTGGGTTGGAAGGGACCTCCCAGATCATCAAGTCCAACCCTTGATCCACTACCACCGTGGTTCCCAGACCATGGCACTGATGCCACATCCAGTCTCATCTTAAAAACCTCCAGGGACGGAGAATCCACCACTTCCCTTGGCAGCCCATTCCAATGCCTGATTACCCTCTCTGTAAAGAATTTCTTCCTAATATCCAACCTAAACCTCCCCTGGCAGAGCTTAAGACCAAGCCCTCTTGTCTTGCTGATCGCTGCCTGGGAGAAGAGACCAACCCCCACCTGGCTACAACCTCCTGTCAGGGAGTTGTAGAGTGAGGAGGTCTCCCCTGAGTCTCCTCCAGGCTCAACGACCCCACCTCCCTTGGTCTCTCCTCATAGAACTTGTGCTCAAGTCCCTTCCCCAGCCTCGCTGCTCTTCTCTGAATGTGCTCCAGCCCCTCAATATCCTTCCTGAACTGGTGTGACCTCACCAGTGCTGAGTACTGGGGCAGAATCACTTCCCTGGACCTGTTGGCCACACTGTTCCTGATCCAGGCCAGGATGCCCTTGGCCTTCTTGGCCACCTGGGCACACTGCTGGCTCATGTTCAGCTTCCTGTCAATCCGAACTCCCAGGTCCCTTTCTGTCTGGCTGCTCTCCAGCCACTCTGTCCCAGCCTGTAGCGCTGCATGGGGTTGTTGTGGCCTTCCCAAAGCACTGCTTTCTCCCCACTGGCTCTGCCTGGAGCCACAGGAATAGAGTCATGTGAGCTCACTTGGGGGCCTAGACTCAGTGGGGATGCATTCAGGCCCTGGAAGGGAATTGCTACACAGCACAACTAAAGGAGGAAAACATTTTACAAACAAAGACACGCACGTTTCAGCCAAAGTCAGGGACAAGGGATCTGGGTGGTCAAACACAGGACAACAAAGTCACACAGTACATGAGATGCACTCTGCAGTGCTCATTCCAGGGCATTCAGGAAAGGGAGAGGGTGTACTGTGCTACCAGTGCTTTTTATGAGGAGAGGGCTTTGGGGCCAGTGGAGCAACTGGGTGGGACTAACTCATTATCAGCTGTCAGCTCACACAGCAGGCTTTAGCAGATGTGAGCCAAGAGCTTCACCAAGTCCCCAGGTTTGTATCTAAAGCTCCTGCAATTTCTCTGTAATGTATTGAGCCACAATTCCTTTGGCTGCTAAGCAGTGCACTAACACAGACTGAAAGGACTGAGTTCACGAGCAGCAGGGACACGCCAGGGCAGGGAAAGCACTGATTCTGCAGCAGAAGTGACAGGAATGTTTTGGCTATTGAAGAAGTTGGGTGCACTGAGAACCACCACGCTTTGTACAAAGCTTGGCCCAGGTGACAAGTGGCTGGGAAGGCATTTACTTTTCCACATCTCTGACTTCTGTTTCTGGCCTTGTCCTTTTGCCCTGAAGTGCAGAGAACCCCCAGGAAAGCTACTGCCTGTTTTTCCCAATCCTCCCAGAAGCAGGAAGAAATAAAGTGATCGCTGATCTACTCAACAGATCTCAAAGTTGAAGGCTCTGTACAGAGCAAAGGCACAGTTATTTATAGACCATCTCTTTCTCTGTCTTTACATATCAAATCCCCGCATGCGTCTCCTATTGAGGGATCTTTTTACAGCTGACACAAGTTTGGCTCACAAAGTGCTGTTTGCTTCCTGGATACTTACGGGTAATCCCAGTGGCCCTCTGTCTCCTTTTTCACCCTGGGCACCCTTCTCTCCTTTCACTCCATCAATCCCTGCTTCCCCCTAAAGGAAGGATGGAGCAGAAAATAAACTCACCATAACAGCACTTATATAACAAACATTCCTCCCTTCAGAGAGCCCCAGAGCAGCAGGGGGGATACAAGAGGCACCAGAGTAATGCTTTAGCGCAATTCTCAGCCCAATTTGAAGAAAACCACTGTCAGTCAAATTCCCCCTGTGTGAGCACCTGTTCTAAGTCAATGGCAGATGGAGGAGATTCAGGCCCTGTGAGTAAAGATGTTGAAAGGGGAACTGGGCTCACTCCTGTGCTGCTCTCCCTGCTGTTGTTGCTGTATATATATTTATAGACAAATAACCAGAAGTTATCTGATAGGGCAGGTTTACATTTTAAGATGTGGACTGATTGAAAGTAAATAACAGGTGTCTACAAGCTTCAGAGAAAAATCATGCAGAAGTCATCTTTGCAAAGACTTTTGTAAATGTAAAGGCATCAGTTTAAACATTTGGGGAAAATAATTTCATCATTCCTTTCCCAATTGTATTTTTAAAATTCTTTATTATGAACTATATAGCAATGTTAAACAAAACACAATACATTAAATATTTTTTTTCTCACAAACTCAAAGTGTAACCTAAAGCTTCTTTCCCCTCATTCCTATTCATGAGGCATTTTAAGACGTTATTTTGGTTGCATTTTGAGACAGAAGTGCCAGAAGAACCAAGTTTGCACGGTCTCTTACACAAGTCTCCCAGCCACCTGATAGCAGTGGCTACTGAGTTACAGACCAGATGGATTACTGTGTCTGTAATAACACCTGGAGGAAAGGAGAATCAGGATAAGGACACCATCCCCTTCAGCACCCAAACAGTGCTGGTGGCCAAATACTGAGGATAACCAGAACAATTAAGATGTTTGCCACATTTTCCAATCTTTGCCCAGAATTTCAGAGGAAAGATGCAGCTTTCCTTGAACTATTTTTTGTCTAGGAGCTGTTTTACAGCAGGCAAAGCAATAGTGTGGGCTGAGCATTTAGACAGAGATTAAAAAGATTCTCACCACCAAGGACAGGGAAGTTCTCCAGTGCTTTACAGCAGAACATACAGGGTAATTTTAAGGCTCCTTTCAAGCTACAGGTCAGTTACTTAGGGATGTATGATGTACGTTCATCCTGCTGTACAGATCTTGACCCTTCAGACAAAGATTTCAACTGTTTTCTCATGGGAAGATTTCCACGGACCAGTGACTTCCCACTTCTCTGGGTGAAAACTGGAGGGAACAATCAGTCCTTTGGGCCCTAAAGTGAGAGCTGCTAATCCATTTCCTTCAAGAAAACATCCAGAAGGATTTGTCCTCTTACAAAGATGGAAGAAAAGTACTATTTGAACACTAGGAAGTTGTTACTGAAGGGAATTCTAACACCTAGGACAACTTTAGTTAAATTTCAGGACGTAAGATTTTGCAGCCTTACCTTAGGTCCTGGGAGGCCCTGAAGACCCTGTATTTGGGATGAGAGACAAGACATGAGTAATGTTTCAGGATGGGCTTTAAACTCCAGGTATCCCAGCTCAGTGTTCAGTACAGGGCTTTCGCTTTCTGAGGGCACAGAGGCCTCTTTATTTGTGTCACGGGCACTTCATGTACTGTTCTCATCTGGTAACGAGAAGGCTCTTGCCAAGCACACCCTGGCAGGGGGCCAGGTGTGCTATTAAGACCATTTCTGCAGTTGATCCCTTTAATCCCATCATCCCATCTTACTACTGTCTTCCCTTTCATCTGAGACTAACATAACCCCCTCTCTTTGCCCACCCAGCCCACCATAGCTCTGACCTACCCTGGGGGTGAGTTTGGAAGTGATACTTTTCCCATTTCAACACTGCACTGGTTCTGCCTGTTTTCTCCACTCAGAATCCTCCCCAATCACTTCCCACTCTATCCCCCCCATTCCCAGTGCCTTGCTCCTGAGGTGAATCACTCAAAACTTACTGGAGGTCCAGGAGGACCTTGGGGTCCGGGGGGGCCAGATATCTAGAAAGCAAACCAGGAGAAGTCACCGTCAATGTGCTGCCCTAGGGATAAAGGCAGACAGGGCACAAGGTGCAGTAGATCTCTGCCAGGCTGGGAAACCTGGACTCCCCCTAAGGACTGCATTTGGAAGCAGCAGCAATCCAGGACAGAGTGACTGGGAAGCAGCAGCAGGACGCTGGGGAGGGTTATGCAGCAGTTGCAAATATTTAGGAGGAGAGAAAGCAGTGAGGTTTTTGCCAAAGAAACGTCCGCTTTCACTACTCTACCACAGTTCACCGCAAGGAGGCACAGGGTCAAAGAGCAAAAGATGGGGAAGAAGGTGGCTGGCTCCACACATGTCAACAGCCTGTGGGACTCCTTGCTGCAGGGCATTCTAAAACCTAGGGGTGAGTTCTGAGGGGAGAGTGGGCAAATTCAAGAACCCTAAAATCTACTGAAAAAACCCTAAACGTATATGTGTGTGTATATATATATGTGCAAGTATTGCTAGGAAACCCCTATACTGCAAATGCTGAGGAAAATATTTGTTACACTTTCCAAGATCTTCTGTTCTACCCCAGGTATTCCTTATTGACTGCTGGTTGTGAGATAGATTGTTCTTGTGTCAGGGAAAGGGAGGCATCAGGAGCTAGAGGTGGCTGGTGATCCAGTCCCAGGAGATGGGGCCTTGCTGTCCTCAGTGAGGGGGTATCACCAGAGGGTGGGATGTGCCTGTTTCCAGCAGCTCTGCTGACAAATCGTCCCTCCCTGGCTGCCCAGATTGCAGAAGAAACATGAGAAAGGTGACCTACCGATTCTCCTGGATTTCCTTTGTCTCCACGTTCCCCAGGCTCACCCTTCTCTCCCTGCACACAACAACAGACCCTGTCACCACTGGCTGTGCTCTGGAGTCTCCCTCCATCAGAAGCCATCTGTGAACCACCCATGTGCTGGCCAGCAGCAGCTCCTTCAGGGAGGAGTGTGAGCAGACCATGTATTCCACATTCCCTGCCTGCTGCTGGAGACCAGACGGACATTCTGCGACACCTAATTAAGGGCAGGGCTCTGAGTCTCCCGGGATACTCAGCACTTTGGGAAATGAACCCTTGTGTGCTGCTCTGTGCTGTTCTCTCTTTACCAAGCAGGAAAGAGCAGCCTGTCTTTCCCATTCTTACTGTCAATCCTGGAAGTCCAATGGGACCCGGCAATCCTGATGGTCCTGGCATCCCTTGGTCACCTCGTTCGCCTTTCTCTCCAGTGGGGCCATCTAGACCCTATGGATCAAGAAAGATTTGTGGATTTTTTGCAAGACTAAGCCAGGCAGACACACAAGACATCATTGCAGGAGTCAAGACTGGCTCTGGCCATCCCAAGAGCTCCCTGAAAACCCCAGACATCCATCAGGTGCCCGGGAAAATGCTGGGCTTCACTAGTATTGGAAGTGGACGAGCAAATGGCTGAACATCCTCCTGCCACTGTGGATGTGCCCGTCCCCAGAGCGGGGATGGGGCACTGCTTTCCTGCCTCCATGTTCTGCTTGTGGTTATGCAGTTTGCTGGAGTCCATGCTAGGAATCACTCCCCAGCTGCTGTTGAGACAGCAGGAGTTTTATCCTAGTGCTCTTATAGAGAGGCAAGAAGTCGTTCTCCTTGAGCAGTGCTGGGGACACAGAAGCTGTGACAGACAAGCTGGGAGCCCGGGCACTGTGCCCCTGTTAGTGGCCAGGATGTCACGGGTTACCCCATGCAGGTGCCCTCCCAGGATGGGGTGTACTGGTGCATCAGCCTCCTTGCTCAGAGTCAGTGCCAGCAACATGCCAGGCAGCAAGCTGAGGCAGTGACACAGGGTCCAGAGAGCAGGGCAGGCAGCGGGGACAGCACATCTGCCAGATGCCAGGATCTCACTTCTGTAGTGTCACACTTCACACAGCAGCACCCACCTCGGAGGGGCTCGGAGGTGCCCAAGGAGTCCCAGGGCCTTGCCCATAACCTGGGTAGCCACCAGTAGTCTGGGAGGCCTTGGTTTACTCACCGGTGAGCCCGTTTGTCCTGGCTCTCCCTTATCGCCCTTCTCTCCTCTGACCCCGACATGGCCTGGCTCTCCCTTTATTCCAGGGGGGCCATCCTTTCCTGGCAGTCCGTGAGGACCAGGGGGGCCCATTTCTCCAGGCTTGCCACGCGGTCCCTAAAAAAAAAATTCACACAACACAAAGTGAAGTTTTTACAGATAAGAGAAAGTTTACTCCTGCCTGGCCCAGAGCCCATCCTCTCCCTCATGGATATGCCCTTTGGAGACAGGACAAAGTAGCATTGCCATGACAAATGTTAGGACATTGATAAACCATTAATGCTCACTTTTGTCAAGCAAAATACTGTTCTCCCCTGTGGGAAAAGCAACTGTGCTCTGTCAGTGACAGAGGTGGAACACACTGACTCCAGGTAAGGCCACTGAAGGGAAGAGCATCATGCCTTACCTTTTCTCCATCATGGCCTGGAGGACCTGGCAAGCCAATTTCACCCTGAAACACAGAATTGTTACTCTGGCAGTTTGAAAGCAGCTGTTGTGACTCGTTCATGGCGACAATGAAGGACTGGCATTGCAGAAATGACTGCAGGGACTAGTCACAGGGGAAAAGCGTGGAAAAACCTGGGGGTTTTTATTTTTTACAGAAAATAAAGCACGGAAGCCTCTGCTGAAACAATACATTGTGTGACTGCCTGAGCATTTTCCATGTCTTGTTGATCCTGACTGCCAGTTCACAGCCCCAATACTGTAACACAGTCCCCAACTGACACAATCCCACAGAGTGCAGTTCCCACAAGCTGCTCTCTGAAGGGGAGGGAAAGTAGAAAGGATCCTTCATCTTTCGGATAAGGCATTATCATTGTGGGAAAAGAGATTTTCAGGATATAGTGCATGAGGAGGAGTGGTAGAGGCCAGCAGGACAGTTCAAGAGTGCTGGACAGGGAGATAGGAGCACAGGGAAGAGCTGTGGGTGGGAATTCTTCCTGGGCTACTCCTGTTTCCTTAAGCTTTGCAAGTGCTGAACTGAGCCAGTACCTTCTGTCCTGGTGGCCCTGGAGGTCCAGCCACACCTGGAAGTCCTGGGGGTCCCTAGATAAAGAAAAAGTTCATTTTCATATTATCAACAGGGCTTTTATTATTGTGTTTTGAAACCCAAAGGCTCTCTGGAGTTTAAAAGGGAAATCACAGGGAATTTTTCAAGGGATTCCTAAAATCATATTTGGCTGGGAAGTCAAGCAGGGGAGAGTCCTCAGAGTTGCTCTTCCCTGCTCCTTCTGAGCACTCCCCGTTCTCAGCAGCATGTATTATGTCTTAAAGCAGAGAGATCAAAGTCCTGATTAGAATTCAAGATCAGAAGGCAAGATGAGCTCTCCCTTCAGCTGTCAGCTGCCCCAGCTTTATCTCCCAAGAGCAAAGGCCAAATGTTTTAGCTGCATCTAAATTGTCAGGCCTTCTGCCTAGGATAGGCATAAGGCTACTCGTGCAAAATCCCACAGCAAAGACCAGAACTCACCATCAAGGCCAAAGTTCTTATTTCCTAGGAAAATACAGGAAAAAATATAAAATTAAAAACTAAAACAGTTATCAGAAAACTAAGCTTTTTCCTGGAGGTAGTTTCTTCTCCACTAATGTAACACTGGCCTAAATGAGCAAGGAACCTACAGAATTAACAAGAGCAAAAAACCCTCACTCTGAGTCCCACAGAGCTGTTATTCTACAATTTCCCCTTTTCCAAAGTGGAACCCAGGCTAACTCAGAGCTGGGCACAGCCACTCACTCACTGCTCATCCTCAGTGCACACTTCCCAGGAAGCTTTGGTGACCTTCACTCACCACCTATCCCACACCATAGGCCACTCCTGAGGGGATTCACATGACCTCTACACCCACTGGTGTTAATCCATCAGCCCAGCAAGGTGCCCAGGTATTGACAAAAATACTACATGCAGGGAGTTGTGGGATGGAGAGGACTACGGCACACAATCCAAGTGCTTCCCTTTGCTGCTACTGCTGAGGAAGCAGATCTACCTTGTTCCCAGCTGTCTGCCTCCCCTGGAAAATTGTAAAGCATCCAGCAGTCACCTCACAGGACAGGAGGGTAGTTGCTCACCTGGAGAGCTTCACTGATGTTCCCATCATAGTCCATCATTTCGTCCTTCCCAGGCTCTCCTTTGGGGCCCTGCAAAGTACCACCTCTTTAGCCAGGGGTTGGGATTGCTCTTCCCTTGGGGTGCTCAGAGCTGGGGTTCACCCTGAAAAAGGGGGCTCAGAGGGACCCATTTCATGAGTGTCCAGTTCTTCATTTATTACAGAAAGCTTCTGTAGGGTAGGAAACACTACAGAAGTGCAGCCAGCCCAGCCCAGATCGCCATGCCTTGACCATCAAAGCTGGCAGGTCCAGGAAGAGGTGCAGTTGAAGCCAGAATGCAGGAACTGGATTTTTTGACCAATTGTTGGACTCGGGCACGCACCAAGCACCCTCCTGCTGCCCTTCTCTCATAGGCCAAGGGCCTGAGTTCAGACTGGGATGTCCAAACCCACCTCCTCCTACAAACAAGCCACCCTGAGATGGCTTGGAAGACTTTTTCCTTCTAATGTGGAGGTGGGAGACGGAGTGGAGAAATAAATGGCCTGTCTCAAACTTAGCCATTGCCCAGCTATGAGTATTTTAGTGACAGGAAGACCCAATCTGGACTGTCAGTATGGCCCCACTATCCTCAGACCCCTCTGAAGGGCCCAAACTCCTCATTAGTAAAGGAACACCTACCCTTGGGCCCATGGGTCCCTGGTCTCCTGGTGAACCACGTTCCCCCTGTAACAAGAAGAACATGCTGTCAACAGAGCCTGCCCCTTCACTTGCTCAAACTCCAGGAATCATTCTCTGCTGGTCCTTTGGAACAGTCTGGGCTTGACAGCTTAATTTAGAAATTCTCCTTTTCCAGTAAATTTTGTACATGTAGGAACAAACTTGCAGCTACTGAACCTCTGAACTGGAGCTGGTTTATGCAGAAACTCTGTACCTTTTCTCCCTGTGACCCTGCAGCACCAGGCCGGCCAACGTCACCAGCTTCTCCCTGGCAGAAAGAGAAAGGGAAAGGAATGGGTTTGTGTTGTGTGCACCACGGGTGACTTCACTTTGGCTTTGCATTTCTAGGAGGAAGAACTGCACCAGCCAAGTGCCCCTGCTGTGCCCCCTTCTCCTTGGGAAGCCCAAATCTCCTGCCACGACTTCCCACCAGGAGCCCTTCTGTTCCACCCAGCGCAGAGGGAGTGTTCAGACTGGTTTCTCACAGAGCCTAGAGGGGAGTCACTTGAGCACAAGGAGGGTATTTTCCTTCCAGAAACACAGTTCACAAATCACCTTCAGCATTTAGAGCAGTACTAAAACACTTTGCAGCACCTGATATCCCTTCAGCAGGTAATCAGAAGTGGGCACAGATGAATGCAACCTTTGCTCCTTTCTACACACCTTGTGCTGGGCACAATCCCTCACAACACACAAGTCCCTGAAGGAAAAAAAATCACTCACCTTTGGTCCAGGGGGTCCAGGCAGACCTGGAGGGCCAGGTTCTCCTTTAGCTCCCACCAAGGCATTCTCAGCAATTCCCTTCTCTCCCTGTTTGCAAAGAAGAACAAGGCATGTGTCACAGATCAGATTCTCCACCTCTGTAATTTCACTTGCCAAACTGCTGGCTTCAAGAGCCATGGCCCAAGACAAGGTCTATCAGCTGGACTCTTGATAGCCCAGAAAGGTACTGCTCCAGAACCAGGAGCTGGCCAGGAACCAGGCCAGTCCTGCCAGGGGTCCATGTCAAGCCCTGCCAGCAGCCACAGGTATCCTCATCCCTGCGGCTGCTCAGCACTTACTGCCCAAGGTCTGTGCACAGACCTCATCCCTGGCCTCCAGCCTGAACACAACTGTGTTGTATTGTTAGAACTGAGCTGGTAAAACCACCTGAGAGTGGCTTCCTTTGCAATGTCTCTCTCAGGAACTGTAGTCATTAGCCAGTCAGACCTGCACACCACATCTTTTGCACACAGCAGATAAAAAGGCAGCAACAGGAAACCTTTGCCATTACATCACTTCCTGAAATGGCCACTGTCATTCCATGCACTGTCCCCTTGCCCAAAGGGAAAGCACTTTGTGAAAGTCTGATTTGAAAGGTGTGATTTCTATCCAGAAACCTCAGAGCACCAGGAAAAAGCCAGTTTGAAGGCTTAGCTTTAGCTGACCTGCCCTGGGTCTCTCCAAGGCTACAAGGCTACTCCTCCAACTCAGAGCACAGCAGTGCAGCTCCCAAAAAGCCCATCTCCTCATTACACAAGGATCTTGGAGCTGGAGGGAGGCTGAAATGCCACGTTACATCTGAGGTCATGCTTTTAACGTGGACTTACTGGAATGTGGTTCCATGGTCCCATTCCCAGGACCACAACCTCTCCCCCATGCATGAGCGCAAGGAATTCCTCACCAAAAGGCATCCTTTGTGTGCCCCCTCACGTCCCTGGGGCACAAACATCCAGCTGAGTGCTGCAGAACACGCTGCCACAGTCACCTAAGAGTGCGAGAGCTGCGCCACACAGGAGGGACGAAGGAAAGGGGAAGAGAGTGGTCCCACCAAAACCAAAATATCAGGGAAGAGACAAACCTTCGGCCCAGGGAGTCCAGGAAGCCCAGGGTCACCAGCTCGTCCCTTCTCGCCCTGTTGGCAAAGCAGACACGGTCAGGGCTGCCTCTGCAGACTCTTCATTCTGGAGGAGCAGGCAAAGGGTGAGCTGCTCCTGGTTTCAAACTCTCCTTCCCCTCCCCAGGCATTTTATTTTAGGCACAGCCAGGACATCCTCCAGCAGTGAATGTTTTCTTCCTTCCTGTTGACTATCTCTACACATCATTGTCATTTCTCTCCAAAGGAAGGTCAGTGGGAAAGGGATCCAGGGTCCCCCCCGAGAATCTTCCTTATCACTCTAGTCTGCTAAACCCTTTTCCCTGACAGTTCTTCAGCCCAGGATCTTCCTGTTCTATACTTACAGAGAAGCTGTTGCCCAGGGCAAATTTTATTTGGCACGCAGGACTTTCTCCATGCCTTGCTCCTCTTCCCTAACTCCAAATCCCAGTCTCATCGTGCTCTTACAAAAAACAGGCAGTGCAGCATCTCAGTTGGCAACCAAGCTCTGCGACACGCACTGGTCGCGAAAAGCAGCGAAGACAAGAGCGGCAAAAGTGGCTAAGACAGCAGCTGATGGTGTAAGATGATGCCTGGAGAGCAAGGGCTGCAGGCTGGGCTGTGTGAGGCACCACGGAGGATGCCACGGGCAGCGAACAACGGAGGGCACCCAGCACTCCCTTGGTGAAGTGCCTTTGCTTAGTTCACCATGACAGCCGGGTCATATTTTCAATATTGGAACTCAATTAGTGGTCTTTATGCTGAAGTTAAGTTCTATTCAGCCCCATTCCATCCAGCTGCTAAATCCATGGTTTCCAGGCAGTGTCCTGTTTGGGAGTGCAAATTTTGCCAGGACAGAGAGAGATATCAGAAGTTTCTGTTACCCTGAAAAGATGTTTCAAATGCATCACCAGGGAAAGGTGTCTTCTTACCTTCAACCCTCACACCTCCAAGACTTAGCAACTTGTACAGATTACACAGAAAATTCAAACCCTCTTTCCCCCCACACATTGCCCAGCTCTCTCCACAATGGCTCCTGGAGCCCTGTCTCTGCCCTGCAGAGGCTGGTGCTGCTTATCAGAACTCAAGGGCACCCATCTGACATGCAGGGGACTCAGTGAGACTCCTAGAGCGTCAATGCTGCAGGAACAGACATGCACTGGTGGCTCCGTGGAAAATAATTAACTAGCAGCAATCTTTTTTTCAGGCAATCCTAGGGGGCCCAGTGACCCCTTTCTCCAAGGTAATTTGGCCTCCAGCCACCTGTAAGACCCCCACAGCTTTCCTCCCCTGCTGGAGCGTGCACATTGCTGCCATAAATTAATGCTTCTATCCCTGGAAAGAGCGAAAACATTTGCAGAACCCAAGGAAAAGGCTGGGCATTTGGGGTTTTTGTAGAGATATAATGGCTAATCCTGTCCCAGGATTCTGTGAATCCCCGATTCTGCCTCAGTATCCCACTTTTCATTCAAGGACTAATTTTGAATACACATGTCCATAAGGGCTACTGAAAACATCCTGTGCTGCCAGAACTAAGGTGCAAAGCAGCAGATTTCTTGAGGAGGGAGGTCAGATTACTGAATCCCTTTGTAGGGTGTTATTTCTGGAGTCAAAAAGAGGCAGCACTGTCCTTAATCATTCCCAGGACAAGACTACATCCCAGGCATCTCATGCTGCCCTGCCTGCCACCAGCCCCCCACTCCTGCAAGCGGGAACATGCAAACACACTTCACCAAGGGGGCAAGAGCCAGCAAAGGACACATAATCCCCTGCAAGCACAATAATTCAACACGCAGCAGGCTCCCGCCAGCTCCCGCTCGCAGGGAACACAGCACGGCACTGCCAGGACACCCAGCCCAAACACACAATGTCCTACCCGCTGCCCCCTCTTCCCTGGCAAACCTGGGGGGCCCATCCTCCCTGGGACTCCAGGATCTCCCTTTGTGGGGAAGAAAAGAGACAGAGAATGTGTCTGTTACGTGGCTGTCACACGCTATAACACAACCCAGCCAGCCTCAAACCAGAGGGGCCAGCTGCTCCCAAGCCAAAGTGGCTGCTTAGGGATGGAGAGCTCATGGATGGGGTACTTCTGTACTGTGCCTGCCCCGGGAACTCAGACCAGGTCAGGCTACACTGAGAACATGGGCAGACACTGCACAGCAGAACAGCCCCCTTCAGGGACAGGGGAAGGCTGCTGGTGGGATCAGAAGTCCTGGGAGGCAGAAGGGGATGGGGAAGGGACAGAGGGAACGTATTCACTAAGCAAAGCATGCTGTGCATGTTTTGTGGAGTAGGGAGGAGACGAGGAAGGCAGCTGGAGGAGGGTATTCCCACCCACACAGACAGGAGTAGGAGGGAGGGAATGTTTGCAATACAGTCCCTCTCTCACTTGGTATCCCTGTATCCTATTACCATTTTGCTTACACCAGCAGGTGCCATTTGGGCCTGGATTTGGGTACTGGGAAGTACAGAGCCATCCCTCAGCTGCTCCGTGAGGGAAAAAAATAAAGATACACAAACCAACTAGAAGTGCAGGCTCACAGTAAAGCCTTCTGAGAGTACCTTTTCTCCTGGAGTCCCAGGCTCGCCCTGGTGAGGAAGAGACAGGAAAATAAAGTGAAAAGCCAGAGGAGAGAGTACAAATCCTCCTAGAGCTATCAGAGTAGAGAAAAGAACCTTCATCTGTGGGGCCTTTGGGCTTGTAAATAAGGGCATAAGAATGCTTTAGGTGCAGACTTTTGTGCCTGGAGTTTGTTTTATCTTCATTAGCCAGTGTCCAGGCTGCTGTAAGAAACCAGCAAACCTGAGAGTAATGGCTTCTACAAGACTGAGTAATCACCTTGTAGTACTTCAAGAGGCTTACCAGGCACCAGGGAGCATAGTAAGACAAGACTCATCTCCTGGAATTTGCCTGCTCCCAGCTGTGCGTGCAGAGGGGCAGAGCAAGGCTGCGGGTGCAGCTGGGGCTGAGGGAGGCTGTGATGATCCGAGTTCACCAATCTCTGCGAGAGCGGTGCCGGGTAGCAGGGCTGCTGCTGGAGACAGGTCCAGTACCTCTGCCAAAGGCATGGCAGTTCTGATATTTCCCTTTAGTGGGAGCTGTCCGACCATTTTCCAGCGCCTTGCGCTCTCCCAGCCCCAGCCCCAGCCCGTGCCCTACTCAAGGCACTGCAGTGTAAAACTGACCTTCATCCCTGCAGCGGCCATCCCAGGAGCGCCCTGGCAGAGAGAGGAAAGACAGGAACACCTTGTTTGAAAATTAATCAGACACAAAATTTTAAAAAGCAAAACGGTATCAGTCAGGTGGAACTAAAAAGGCAAAAATCCACATCTTTTCCTTTCCACAACTCAGAAATAATGCTGTAACACCACACAGCACACACTCTCTTTCCCTGCGCAGGTCATTCACCTATGGCAGTGGCTCTGCATTCCAGAAAGCTCCTCCAAAGCACAACCCAGTCAAGACAACCAGATTTCCACCCCCCATCCTGGTTTTAGTCTTGCAAATGAAGCTAAGGCCAACAAGATGAACAGTGTCAAATAACTGAGGAATGCAAAGACAGACCAAGGACCAAACCCCCAGTTCAGTGCTTGAGCCCAATGCATCAGCTCGAGCATCTCGAGAAAGGCCAGCTCGTACCCCAGAGCCTTGGCCTTGCTATTTCCCATCATTCTGTTTTTATCACAGAAGACAAACCCTGCAGTAAAACATTTCCAGGAGAGCTCTGAAGCCACACATCTGCCATTCAGGTGTCATTCTGCAGCGCAGAGCGAGGCACCACCACGGGACAGTGGGGTCCAGCCTGCCCTGCCATCCCAGACAGGAGCCTCGGAGCTCCCGGCAGCTGCTCCCATAGGCACTGCCACATTGCCCTCAACAGCACTAATGCAAAAAGCAGGTCTCCCTATCAACCCTCTGCTCTGAAATCTCTGAATGCCCTGTATTAGTAGTAGTTAGGTCCTGGCAAAAAGGTCAAGTTACAAAAACAAATATGAGGGTCAACTAAGGAGAGGGCAGGGAGTGAAGTGGTGTTAGAAGTTAGGAAACGTGAGGGGTTGGGATGTAGCACAAGGCAGAGAGGAGGACTGGGAGCCAAGTTGAAAGTGAAAAGAGCTTGGAAAAGTTCAAACAAGGAGGAGTGGGGAGCCAGAGAGCAGCAGGATCATACCTCTCAGCTTTCTGAAACAGAAATCGGGGACAAAAGCTAAAAAACACAAGGACAGAAGATGGAGATCAGGGATTCTATGCAATAAATGGGGGGAAAAAGCATTCCAGATTGTCTCAGGGTCAGTAGGTTTCAGCGAATACAGGCTAGAGCCATGAAAAGGGATAACGTGCAGCAAGCAGCTTTGTGTTAGGATTTTGCAGTGCAGGTGGGATGCCTGTTCCTCACTCTTCGGCCTTCAGATGGCAGTGAGTGTGGATGAGGTTATTCTCTAGTACTTATCCTTAAACTGCAAGGCACAGACATGCAGGGTTGCTCACACACTGACCCTGATTCACCACTGCATTAGTCTGGGTTGGCCCTGCTGATCCCACATTTGCTGCGGTCACCTGGGACCCCCAATTTACAAAACACCAATTCCCTACTGGCACTGGCCGCTCTCACTGGCGTAAAGCATTAAGATCCTGATGCTGCAAGTCATCCTTGGACTGGGCATGCCATTTGCTTGCTAAAACACTTCTTCCCCCACCATCCCCTGCATAAATTAGGCCCTATGTTTTGCAATTTAGAAGCAGAAATAATTCAGCTGAGGACAGTCACTAACTAACGGACACACACACAACTCCAGGCGATGCTTGCGCATCAGGGACAGGCGAGTGCTATGGGTGAGATCAGGCAGACAAGCATCACTCCTCTGGTTACAAGGTACCTTAGAGCCATGTCTTCCTGGCAGCCCTGGCATGCCTCTCTCCCCCTGGAAGCAGAGCAAGACACACAGAGAAAGAGAGCAGGAGACAGGAGGTGAGTCCTCTCAGGGCTCCGTGCAGAGTGCCCAGGGCACAGGTGATGAGAAACCCTCCTGGGTGAGATGAGACATGGCCCGTTCTCCCCACCTGACTCTCACCCAACCGACTGTCCTAACCAGAGACCTTTCCCTTCAGTGGCACCTCTCAAGCCTGTTGCTTATAGCATGACCAACCCCACTAGAGTGCCACAGTCTCTGTATCCTGCTGCCACATGGCATGGCATGCTGCAGGGGCACAGGGAGTCAGTCTGCAGTGACTACAGGATAAACAAACTTATCTGGAGAAGCAGAGAATCCAAGGCTTGCCTTCGTATTGTTAACCTGAATTTTGTCTGGTGATAACTGGAAAATAAAACGTCTTCAGGCAATCTGCATGCTGTTGTTGTTTTGTTCTGGGTGTTTAGTCCTTGCTTGGAAAGACTATTCAGCAGGGATATATGTGTATGCTTTTTTAAAAAGCGCTGTTTGTAATTGTGCCATCCTGTGAACTATATTTTGTAAAATACCTTCTAATACCATAATACACATAATCGAGGCAGTGTGAGCACCTCCTGCCCTGTACAACATACTTAACTACCCTATTTTCAGCTGTAAAGCAATAATTACGAACACTTTGTAATGGAAAATGGGGACCACTCTCTCACTCTCCTTCCCAGTTATGCTCCCTGTTTTTTTTAAGTGAGATCAAGCAAAGAAGACCAATGCTTTCTGCTGGGAGGCACCCACGCTGTTTGCAGAGACCATTCCCACAGGGCAGCCCTGACTGTGACAGTAATTCCTCATCCCAGAGACTTTCCTGGAAGAACTGCCTGCCTGAAGAGATGCTTAATTATTTAGCTCTGCACAAGCAAAGCCCCCTCAGCGAGAGGCAGCAGGGTAACCCCCCACAGGGGGCAAGTTACAGAGCAACCACCCCACCCTGTGTTTTCTGAAGATGGCCTCAGCCCGCTGGCACTGCCCCGGCACCGGCAGGATCACACAGGCACTAGAGCTAATTAGAGAGTGGGAGCAGCAAACGTGACACTGCACCACTGAAGAGCAGAATGAAATCCCAGAGCCAGAGAAAAACATCTCCAAAACATCTTTAAACCCTTATGTGTTTGAAAGCCATTGTAGCGCAGCGAGCACCCGCTGGGCTGATCCCTCTGTGATCCCCCGGTGCCCTCCGAGCTGCACAGGGCGCTGTAGCCAGACAGCAGCAGCCCATCAAAAGCAGCACTGAAACAGTGCAGCCAAGCGAAGAGCTCGGAAACATCACCAAAGGTGGGTACAATAGGCAAAACACCCACCACAAGTCCCCAGTGGGCTCCAGGAAGGTAATCAGCAGCATCTCCCAGCTCTCGCAAGCTTCACGCCGATTTAGGAAACACCTCCCCCACGTCTCCCGAAAAGTTAGGCTACACCTCTCCCCTCACACTCGCTTACCCTCCACCTGGTGTGAGCAGCTTTATCCCCACGGGGTGCCAGTGAAGCCCCAGGCTGATTAGCTCGTTAGCTCCCAATTAAAGCAGACACCCTTCCTTATTGCTCCGTGAGGGGAGAGGCAGATTATGAGGGGGTTATATAGCAAGGCTGTGGGCACTTTATTTATTGCTCCTTCTCAGAGCATGACAAAAAGCCTCATCCTACAGACCTTTCAGAAAAAAGAAAACATCAGTGAAGCTGAATGTGACAGGCTGGGGGCAGTGAGTCAAATGCTCATTCAAGAGGCCCAGGTGATCACAATCACTGGCTAATGACCTTTATGGGACACAGATTTAGGTCCTTACATGACCAAAGTACGAGGCCACAGAGAGAGAATCTAAGCTGTGCTGCATCTGTCACTGGGTGGGGAGAGGTGGTTAAATTAGCACCGGGTCTGTGTTATACTAGCAAACCTTTTCAGGCCTGAGATGTTCTTCACTGCCAGCCAAAGCAGTGATATCCCATGCAAAATTGGTCATGACAGCTAAACCATGAATAACAGTGTTTGTCCAGGGCTCCTCAAAGCTAAGAGAAGCTAGAATCTAGCCTAGATAATTGGATCCAACATTGGAAGCATTAAAAGTCTTCCAGAATCTAAATCAATCCTCTTAGGTGGGAGACAACAGAAAGAAGCAATTTCCAAAGACAACAAATGCAGTGTTGGACGCTCAAGAGCTGCTACTGGGTGAGGTCTGGCTGCTGATTTAAGGGTACCTCTGCACTTCCCTTTCAACTCCTCTGAGCAAAAAGAAAGGAAGTTGAGAGACAAGTGATCCTGACAGTACCAAATTAAAGTCTGTGTGTGAAAAAAGACGCCACTTTGGGTCTGGGGAGGTGCCCCTTTGGAGCAGCAATTTAGTATCACAAAAAAGTGTCTCCGGTCTCATCTCTGCTCTTTGTGACATGGGATGAATAAGGAGCCAAGTAGGAAGAGTGTGTCTCCAGCATGACCCTGAGTGAGGGAAGGCTCTTGCCTGTGGATGGCCCTGAGACATCACTGTAATACCTGGAGACTTCCCTTTGCCAGAGATCTAGTGAAGGGCTGGTTAGATGTGCACAAGCAGAGCAGATGTCTGCTGGCAGTGAAACATGGCAGTACAAGCAGGGGTGAAACACGACTTCCCCTTCCAGCCTTTCCTTCCCCCCAGGCTACACTCGATGACTTCAGTCCTCCAGTTCTGCTTAACAGGAGAGATGAAAACAAACTCTGAGCCCCAAAACATCAGTTCTGGGTGCAATTCCACCTTTATTCACACTTGCACAAACAGGAGCGATGCCTTTGTGCTTGATGGAATTACACTGATGTGGAGATGGACACAGGGAACCTTTGGACTGTACATGCATCTCAGTATTTCTGAGGAGGTGTAGTTTTCTTGTAGGAAGACAATTGCTGTTGCTCTATTCAACTATGGACCCAGATCCTGCATTCCCTAAGAACATTTCTTTAAACTCCACGTTACACGTCCCTGGTAACCTCTGAAGGGGCCTTTTCTCCCTTCAAACAATAATCCACCCAGATGGAAAAGATATAGAAAGTGTATGTGCTGCACGATAAATGAGCCGCATGCCACGCACTAAATACTTGAAATGTACGTGTCACAGCTAATGCTTTTCCAAGTATTACAGGACCGGTCTTTCCTCGTGATGTTTAAGATGTATGGAATGACACAGTGTGCTCTGACTGCCATGAACACTAGCCAATGTTGTAATGTTTTAAGCACAGCCTACATTGAGTAATATACTTTAAATATATGGGTACAGTAAATTTCAGTCAAATAGATAACATCTGGGCACAGACCATATGAGCCTGTAAAAAGTGTCCAGAAACAGACAGAAACGCCTGGTGCCAAACCTCAGCCTGAGTTGCAGAGTTTGAGCGGATTTGATGCGTCAGCTAACCAGATTTTATGAGGAAACCCCAACCTAGCCCATCAAATAGAGAGATGTAACAAATCACTAGCAAGCTTCATAGTCAGAGAAATGCCTTTGGTAAGAATCGAATTCCACCGAACGGATAAAGGCTGCTTTTATTGCCTGAGCTCAGAGTGCCTGTCTGTGGTTAATCAGAGCACAGATGTGCACTCCATTAAATACCCCACAGAGCTGCCTCGGACCCAACTTCCCCTTGCAATCCGTCAGCCCAAGGAGCAGTATCTATCTCCCAGGTGATCTACCGCGCCTTAGAGAAACATATTCCTCATGCCTACCTTTATGCCAGCGTCCCCTTTTTCACCCTGCCCAGCAAAGGAGAGAGAAGGGGGGGGAACAGAGAGAGGGACAGTGAACATAAAGAGTAACTGAGCAAGCAATCATAACAGTGAGGGACAGAGAGAAAGCAGCCAAAAGAGGGGTGTGATAATGCAACCCCAGGCCTCTGGTTCTCCTGACAGCAACACGGTACCAGCCCAAGCACTGGCTGCAGCCCACCCCTCCCAGGGAATGCAAGGCAGTTTAGGTTTCTGGAGTAGATGCTGGAGGTCACCCATACTAATGTTCTTCCACATGATTTGGTTGTAGAAACCGTCAAAATGTTTCATGGCCCATTCCCTCAACCCTGGGGCAAAAGCCTCTAATAATAAGCCTTCTATAATGAAGCCCTGTGCAGGTACTGGTTCAGATAGCATGAAATCACCTTGGCCAACAATTGCCCAGGCTCCCCACTCAGGAGCAAGTGTTCCTGGTTACATGGCTCATTACGGGCTCTAGAGAACTGCCTCCAGTCCCCAGCCTTTGACATCCTTTAGTGTGTCTCTAGCCTTGTGGGCCAGTTATCTGCCCTTGGGAGATGCCCCCACTGACTCGAGTTTAAGGGTTACCTTGGGGCCAGAGGCTCCAGGGAGGCCACGGGCACCGGGCAGGCCTGACTCGCCCACCTCACCCTGAGGAAGAGAAGAAAATGGAGGAAGGAGCAAACACAGCAGCAAGAAAAGGAACTGTGGGTTGCCAGGAAGATCAGCAGAGGTGTGAGAGGGATGTCCCACACTGAGGTGCCTCCCACACACCAACCTACCACCTGGGTCTCTCTGGGAGAGGAGCACCATTCTGCATCACAAAAGATGTGTGTGAAATGTCGGGAAGGGAGTGGTCCCGTATCCTGTATTATATCTGAGTTAACAATTTTCCCCTACATTTTGCTTTCTTTTCCCTTTTCTTAGGATTTGCTCCCCTACTTTCATCTATTCCTTCCACCTTTCCCAGAGAAAGGTCACAACCTTGGGCTCATTCCTCCAAGATCAGTGCAGGCTCTTTGCTCGGAAGTAAATTAGCCAGACAAGTGGTTTTGTGTAAGAGGAGCTGGTAGCAGAGGCCCTCGCTGTGAGGTCGCTGCCGGGACCGCCCGCCCAGCGCACACAGAACAGGATGGGCTCCTAATGGAAAATCCAACAGTTCACCGGGAGAAGGGGCAATAAATTGTGTCTGTCTGCAGAAGTGGGCTGTGGTCTGCAGGGGCTATAATTTCCACTTCCTGACATAACAAAAACTTCTCAGTTTATACAGATCTATTTAAAAAGCTCTCAGGTCTTGCCATTTTACTCGCAGAGCACCCATAAAGCAAGGTGGAGATAACAGGGGACACAGGACTCCTGCCTGCTGGGAACATTCAACCCCTTCTCCAGCTAACATCTCTTTATTCTCTCTCTCCCCTTTGATCTTCCTTGTGTCTTTCCCCTGTCTCTCTTTCTGTCTCTTCATTACACCCTCCGGCCTTGACAACCCTGCTGCTGATCAGCTGCTGCTGAAGGCATTCGGACATTGCCAGCTTCTGCCTCTTAACCTGGAGGAGGTTAAGGACTCTTTCCTGTATTCCAGAGAGCAGTACACGGCCAGGGATTTGGCCCTTTTCAGCCTCCTGTTCAGGTCTGGATAAACAAGACCTGCATTTCAGCCTGGAAGTGGGTATAGAGGGGCACACGCACGGGGAGTCTGTTTCATAGGTGCTGGAGAGTTAAAGACACCTCTGGGCCCAGGCTCTCCTGATGTGGGCGACAGGAAGAGATCTGTGGGCCTGCCAGAGCCCCATGTCCAGTGGGAGCAGAGCTCCACAGAGGGCTCCAGAGTAGTCCACTGATTTGCAGCCATGATTCCACAGGACATCAGTGCACTTAATTCATTTAACAGCACTGGAGCTCCCCTTCTTACCTTTCTGCCAGGGTATCCCTGAATCCCAGCCTCTCCCTGCAAAAGGCAAAAAGAAAAGAAAGTGAGGCTTGGCCTGAGAAGGACAAATCTCTGCTCTTTTCCCTGACTTACTGCTGGGATGGGAGGGCATTCCAGGGGGAGAAATTCCTCTTTTGCTCAGAGCAACTCCACTGAGCTCCTGACCCTTCAAACCCATGGGTCACCATTACTTGCACTGGGCTGAGTCCTGGCAGGAAAGGCACAGTAAGCCCTGGCAGCTGGACAACACGTGCCAGCTCTGTGCCTCAGCTCCATGGTTCCCATCTCCTCACCCTGGCTACATATCTCAGATAAAAACTAATTAGGGTGGGTGGCTGCAGCTGAAAAACAACAACAACCACCCCCCTCCTCGCACTTTGGCAAGTGAATAAATGGGAACCCGTGGCGGAGTTAACAATAGCATTGCAAAATCCATTCCTAAAGCGCTGGGAAATGCTTTGAGAATGGAAGAAGCCAATAAAGCTGTGTGTGGCAAACAATTTTGCAAGAGGGGCTGATGAGGCGTGCCTGGCTCAGTCAAGATGCAACTCAGACGTGTTGCCTGGACAAAACCCATGAATCAGCACACGGGCTGGGCCCCAAAGGCAATGCTAAGCTGGGTCAGAAATCTTTCTCAGCGATTTGATGTAACCTCCTTTCCCCTCCTCCATCCGTCAAAATGTACACATCTGTCCTCACCAGGAGTATCCATCCCTGTTTATCACCGTGCTACACCTCTAAATGAGGTGAGATGTCTCACCTTTGGTCCAGGAGGCCCAGGTAAGCCCTGTGGATAAAATCAAAACAGACACTGGGGTTGGCAAACGTAGACATTACATGGACTGCAGGGTGATGGGAGACGCTGGCTGCTTTGGTTTGAAATGAGATGATTTACAGAGATGATTTATGCTGGTGAGCTCAAACACCCCCAATCTATTCTTCATGTAGATGAATACTGTCTTAACCATACACTCAAATAAATCCATGTCTGTAGTGCTCCATCTCCCCAGGTTTGATCTAGCTGAATCTGAAAACCAAAGAGCTGCTTTGCCTTATGCATTATGCTCTAGAACCTTTTCTGCTTCTCTGGCTTGCCTGGGAAATTTGTACCCACTGTGCAGCTCTGGAGTAAATCAGGCATTTGCAGCTTCCTCTGACAAGAGAGAATATATTAACAAACAAACCATTCATGTCTTTAAATGAGAAATAACCAAGCAATTTACCTGATATGAACCAAGAAACATACCAGATATATGTATATGTAAATATAAATAAACAAAATATCCGTGGCAGAGCTGTATGTGAGCAGATAGAAGGGGGAAACTACTCTAGATATGCTCTGATGCCTATACCACCCTTGATGTTGCCTGCTTATGGCAATTCAAGTGTTCAGCCATCCTATCCTTGGCTCCTCAGAGCTCAGAGAGAAATAGGATGCTTACAGGATCCCTGACTCCGGTACTACGTATGGAGGGGTGCTTTTGCCTCTGGGGAAAAGACCTGCTTGTCCTGCTAGCAGGCCTTGAAAACTCTTTGAGATGGAAACTCCTTTCATTCCGCAGAGGCTGCAGAGCCAGTGTGCCATGTCTCCCCCTGCAGCCCCCAGGAACGGAGCTGGTTCCTGGTACCCACCTTTCCGTCTCTGCCAGGCTTCCCAGGTTCTCCCGCTCTGCCCTGTTACAAGAGAGAGGTACATTAGCAGGGTTTTCTGCCCTGTCCCCTGCCATTTAGCAATGGTATGACTTTATAAATGGTGCTTCTGTCCTCTCCCTCCTTGGCTGCTTGCTAGAGCAGGGACAGGACTTCAAAGGGGTGGCAGGGATTCTTATCAGTCAGGTTTCTGTTCTGAGCACAACAATTACACCCTTCGTGTTACTTCCTCTCCGGGGCCCTCTGCAGGGTCTGAGAAGGAGGAAATGAGCCTGGTGTCACCCATTGTGTGCCCAGATAGCAGCAGTGCCCTGCGCACACCTCCGCCTTCCCTCCCGCTCCCCTCCTTCCTGGGAACTTCATCCGCTCCACACATCCACATCCTCTGCAAGTCTCGTGTCCGTGACTATCTCAGCTTCAGCAGAGGCAAGAGAGGCCAGAGGAAATTGCCTGTGCCCCAGGGGAAGGGGAAGCAGAAGAATTTGTTTTTCAGTAATTGGACTTACAGGGGGTCCAACTGGCCCAGGACGTCCTGGGGTTCCTTCAGGTCCAGCCGGTCCAGTGGGCCCTGGTGGTCCAGGGGGCCCCGGGGGACCTTGGATCCCCGCTTGTCCTTGTTCACCCTGTGGTTTGTAAAGCAAGAGGTTATCAGCTGGCAGAACAAACCCTTCACACCGCCACCCCAAGGGCTCAAGGCAGACCAGCCTGGCTGAAGCAGATGAGGTAGAAGCAAGTCACAGGTTAGTGCCAGGAGAAGTTTCCAAGAGTGATGGAGAGCCCTGCTGAGGATGGCTGGGCTGCCTGGGTGGCAGGAGCCAGCACCCTACGGTTTGCAAAGACATCCGAAGCTGCCTGATCAGACCTCTCTTCTAAAGGGATCTATAAATGACAGAGCAGTCCAAAGAGACCTTTTTCTTCATTGAGTCGGTCAAGTACAATATTTATGCGAAAGACCGACGTCTCTTGAGCCTCTGAGGAGGCTTTCCAAAGCACTTGACAGTCACATGTGAAGCAAAGCCTCCCATGACCACACTGGCACTTCCAGGCAAACCCGCAGTGTCTTACCTCAGCCTATTTTTTTCCCCCATGCTATATTTGTTGGACAACACTCCCTCTGTTTTGCCAAGGACCAAAAGTAGAAATGCCACAAACCCAAAAGAAAATAACACGATCATCATGGCATTTCTGGAGCCCACCCAAAGCAGGCCCATGTGCACCAGGCATAGCCTGTTTTTCTAAGATTTAACAAGGCAGTGCGTGCCGAGCCACCTGCCATTTTAAGCTCTCTGCCACGGGGCCGTTTGAGCCGGTTCCTCCCCAGGCCCTCAGTAGCCGTTCAGGGGCTGTGGCTCATGCCTCAGCAATGTCATCTGGCCCCAAGGACCTGGACGTGGGACCCAGCGGCGCTGAGGAGACAGTGGGTTGGAAGCGCCACGTTTGAATACCAGACAGCTGATCCATAATTGATGAATCCAGCGAGATCCTGAGGCACCGTGGCACCCGCGCTGCGCTGTTCGTCTCACAGGCTCCCCTCCCTGGATAAAGTATCATGACAGTGATCACTGTTAGTGATCCAATTTAAATTTGAAAAACGCTACTTGGTGGATCCATGGGAAGCCAGAAATCAAACATGGCTGTTTCTCAGTTAAAAATCACTAGGTGTGCAGTTGGGTCTCCACTGCATTTATCCTCTCTACAGCCTTATACACTCCAGGAGGACGCATGAAATCTGTCCCCTGCATGTGTTCCTACCAAGTGTGCTGTTTATCCTGGCTGCCTTTAGTAAAACATGCAGATACAGGGATGTTTGCTTTATTTAGAATGATAGATGAAAGTAATAAGCTGCAAATTTCATCCCTTCTTCCATGAGCTTTATTTAAAAGAAAATTTCCAACACGTGGGCCAGGCTCACAAGAAGCTCAGTCATGTGTAGAGCCACAGCCCTTCTCCTGCTCCTCACCACTGGACCCACAGCTCACACTGGGAAGCCTGCTGGGCCAGGCAGGAGGGGCATCCTCACTTTCCCCCATTTTTTAAGTGTATCCTATGGCCCATGCAAGGGAACACAGGATCTTTCCTAAGCTTCACTATCCTCCACGCTCAGTGCTATTCAACTGTCCTGTAAATGGTCTCGTAGCTTTTAAATGTGGAAGGTAATTTGGATCTAATGAAGATGTTGGGAGGACGCTGGAGTATATTCCTAGATTACCTCATGCCTTGACCTCTCATTCCAACTTCAGAGACTTCCCTCCCACTCCATCTTACAGCACCCCCAGCATGGGTGCACCATTGGAAGGCAAAGGGGGCTTTTTGCCCATCTCACTTTGGCTCTCCCTCCTGTTCCCACCTCAGCTGCTCTCTGCCAGCCCAGTCCATGCTCCAGATTTAGGGCACTAAAATGCAGCACAGTGCTGGGAAGGGGTGCTGGCAGGGGACAAGGTGCTGGGAAGAGCAGCAGCCCTGCCCCAGCATGGGGAGCAGCTGGAAGGAGCTCACCCAAACTCCCATTCGCATCACCCTTGCTTTGCTGTCTTAAAGCGTGTTTTGTTGAGGAGAGTGCCCGTCCACGCAGATCCCTAAACACACAAAGCATTATTACCACATCATTATAGTCTTATTAATGTGTTCAGCACAAAAGGACCCCCACAGAGCTAACCAGACAGTAAGTGGATACAGTAAGTGGGAGATCAGGTGTCATTTTTGTCAGTTGTCATTCTATATTTTTAGCCATTGACTGTAGCTACTTTTCAGTTCTTTTAAACACCAGGCAGCCACCCTGACTGTGCCCCAGCACTGCAATTCTTGCTCAGCCTTCTCACACAGGACCCTGCTCAGCCCCTCTCTCGGCTAAGCCTCAGCCCTTGGGCAGAGCACTCCTGCTGATGTGCTCAGAGGCAGCAGCATGGTTTTCCTCTCTTCCAGGCGCTGGCACTACATTCATTTTGCAGCCACACTTTTTTTCTTAGTATTCATGGGCTCCTGGAATTGCCTGGTGCTGGCAGACCTGTAGGAGCGGATTACACTCTGTTGCACTTAGAGAACGAAACAGCAACAGCAAAACAGATCATGGCAAAACTCTCCGGTGAAGTTAAAGCCTCTGCGGACAGAGGGAATTTGCAGCCCTGGCTGACGACAGGACGTAGGGCAGCTATTCAAGTTTCCCACTTCATCCTGGAGAGGAACTTCAGCTTTCAAAGCCTTCCCAAGAGGTCAGTCCTTGGCCTGGCTCTCCAGACTGTCACTTTAAAGGGCAAACAGTGCAAGCCATGGGGCTCTGTGTGGTGCAAATGCTGAATCGATAGAAACTGAACTGAAAGCACAGGCTCAACTGGTCAGGTCAAGATTTGTCCAGTGCTGGGCAAGGACCGGGCACCTCATGGTAAAGGTCTCTAATTGCATCCTACAGTTCCCTGCTAGCATCCAACTGTCTAGACAGGCAGCAGGGTGACAAAACCCAGCCACTTAATAGAGAGTGCCCAGCACACTTCACGGGGTAAGTACAGCGGTTTGTCCACACGGAGAGTTAATCCCAATTGATGGAATGAGGGAGCTTAAAGTGGGCTCATTAAAAGCCACATGAACTCTGACTATGGACACTCTTATTCACTATTCATATGTCTGTAATTCGCTTTATGAATTAATTCCCAAAATAAACTAAACATGAATTATGGTCCTGGAAACAAAAATAAATGTGTTTACACAAAGATTTAATGCAATTTAATGAAACCATTCTAAGAGCTTATTTAAACACATTTCCCAAGTGCCTCAGACTAGACTAGTCCTCAGAAGAAGCGTTTGCCTATTCATTCATCTCAGTTAAATTTCACAGACATTAGCTGCATTTCAGCAAGAGGTTTCTAACCTCTTCTGGAGATTGAATATGCAGGAACTGACTCCTTTAGGGAGGAGGCTGCTTGTCGACAGCCCTAAGAACGGTTTCATGGCCCATTTCTTTCAGTTTAAAAAACTGGCTTCACTGCATTTCTTTTTAGCAACATTATCACATCAAAGATTTCCTCTGCTTCAAAGAAAGTCCCTCAGCTCTGCCTGAAACTCTTGGAAACCCCTCTGTAGGGGAAGAAAGACAGGTAGCAAGCTGATTAATGGCAAGCATCAGGATAAGCTTAGAAACAGGCAATGAGGAGGAGAAGTCTACCTGGAAAGTGCGTCTCTTTATGACCGGAGGTGGAGCCAGCCGCACTGAATTGAGGAGAGGCAACAGCTGAAGAAGATCAAACCAGAAGGTCACAGGGCAAAGGAGGCCATTAGGGCACCGAGAGTCAGAGAGTGGCCAGGGGAGAGAACAGAGAAGAGGGGAACAGAGAGATTGCCATGAAAATAAAGCCCAGCATGAGCACAGCACAGGGACCTGCGGGCAGACCTCTGAGCTCCCCGCGCTGCTCACAGAGGGACTGGCAGTGCCAGCCTGGCAGGTGCAGGGTGGCCACTCACCATCTCGATGCTCCCACTGTACAGAGCTTTTACAGCTTCCTCTGCTCAGAAACAGAACTTACCCAGGGGGTTTTTAACTCAGCTCCACTGATATCCTTAGGCACTGTTCACTGCAAGACATACCCCCACTGGCTCTGCTAAGATCTGCATTGATGAGACTGTTTCTCTTAATTTCTCATCATCAGATTTGGGGCAACTATCCAAATGGCAGTTTTCTGCAGAAGGACATTGCCTTGGTAGCTGGTGCTTTGCTTTTTCTGCTCAACAGTAACATCACCCTCTGACTGCTTATAGCCAGGAATGCTGCCTTAGGGTACAAAGCTGACCCGGACACACAGAAATCAAATGCACTAAAGCTCAGGAGCATTTGTTCATCCTTCTGCTGTATCCAGTTTCCACTTGCATGCACGCTGCTGTCAGCCTGGCACCCACCGTGCCGGCTCCAGGCCCAGGAATGCTCCTCTGGCCTGATCCACTTTCCTGTTGCTATCAGTTTTCCATTGAAGCTGCTCTTGATTTACACAGGGAGAGGCTTTCTGTGCTCAGACACAAAATCGTGCCTGCGTGCGCCATTCCCCGTTGTGAGCTGTGCGCTCAGATCCCAGAGGTGTGCTCACGGGTCTCCCACCACAGTCACCGTACGCTTCCAAGCAGCGCACTTTATTCCCATCGAACATTGTCCTTCTTGTGCGCAGTGAAAGCAAGGATCCAGTCCTGTTGCAAAGAGAAGAGGCAACCCAATATTGCAGCATGGTGATCAAGTGGTTGTGTTTGAATGCTTCGATCCAGACAGCCACAAGCTATCGCTCCAGAAGCAGTGCTGCTGGAAACTCAGCTGGGCTGATTTTATCCAAAGGCAATTCTATCCCTTTCTAAAAGACAGTGCAGGAGGCCCCATAGCTCAGGAGAGCCAGCTGAGCTGGCTTTGACTGGCTCCTCAAGCGCTGAAGGGTATCTGAAATATTATGCAGCTTACAGAGAAGCAGAAGGAGGATGCTGAAAAGGATAAGGAGGAAAAAAACAGAGGCGAGACAAGACCCAGCAATGGATTCAGGTGCAAGTGGGAGAGTTTAGAGAAGAAATCTGAAGGCTCTCCCACCCAGCTCCTGCCCTGCCTCCTCTGTGTCCCAATGGGAAGAAGGCAATGTGCAATATTGGAGTCACATCCTCATGCCTTTGCTTCAGAACTGGGTCACATCAGACTATTACCCACAAACCTTCAGCGTAAGGATCTGGTTAGAGCGCAGGGCTGCAAGGGTGGTACTTAGGTATTCCTGGGGAACAGTGAAGACACGTGAGACAAATGGGGTCAGTTAGACACACATGGCATTTCTGAGAGCAGACGGAGCACAGCTCATCCCCCCTTCCCCCAAGCAGCACTTCGAGCAGCTCGAGTGGCCATCTCACCCCACATGTGTAGCCCCAATGCCTGGGCTCATCCCTCACAGCAGTGCAGGCCATACAGACTTATACAGAAAAAAAATAGGAAACTACAACAAGAGCCAAGGCATATAGCCTGACTTTGTATTTCCTTCCTATAAAAACAAAGATGAAACAAAACTGAAACAACATCCCTGGTTTTTCAGGATACTGGTTTTCATTTCCTCACCCAGAACTTCTGACAAAGAACCTTGTCAAACAGAAAAGCAAGAATAAATTGCAATTCAGTCAGCTGTGTAGCATTTTTACAACATCCTAATTTTCATTCAGGGAGGAAGAAAGAGAACTGCACCTCTGTTGACTGGTCTGTGCCTCTGGCTCCCTGAGCTTGCACAGTCTGTGACCAGAGCCTTCAGCACAGCCCATTCTTGAGTTGATCTGAGGACAGTCACCTTTCCCGTGAGCATGTCTCTGCCTTGGAACAACTCATAGGCTTTTGAAAATGTTGAACTTGCTGCCTCATGCAACCAAAAGTACCTCCATGAGGAAACACTGCTAAGATGTGAAGCTTTGCACCCATCCCCTTCCCGCTGTCACAGCCCTGCAGCGTGTCACCCTACAATCCCAGCCCACCAAACCAGCGTGCCTTTGCCCCCAAGCCCGAGCCTAGGCTACTTCCAGTAGCCTAGTATTGCTTTGGGTCTGCCACTGCTTTTCACCTTGAGCGCTGGGGATGGTGGAAGCCAAGGGCTGTAACATGACCCAGGACGATGCTTGGTGAACGCTGTTGTTAGCTTCTTTTTAACATAACAATCTCGTGAGCCCGCTCGCTAAATAAACACAGCTGACCGGCTGTTATTGCACGGGGACTGGCACATACCCACAGCTCCCTTCTCCCTTGCTGCCAGCCAAGCTCTCTCTCCACTGGCTCTGCTGCTCCGAGCATCCCAGCCCTGCTCCCTCGGGGCCAGGGACCAGAGCCCAGCTAATTATCCAGAGGCCCGTCAAAAATAAACAGAAAGCTCTTAAGCCTGTCTCCCTGTACACCCAGATTACAAATTCCAGCCACTTCATATGATGTCGTTCCAATGCATTTCCAGTGGATTTTCAGCACTCCGGTTGTTTTTAGAACTGGTTAAATCCCCTCAAACCCTATGATGTACTCTCTTGGCTGTGGATGCCGGCCAGGCCAGGATGAAGAGGCAAGTGGGGCAACATCCTGGCTTCCATTAAATGGTTGCTGGCATCAACCCTCCCTCTCAGCCTCTTCCTTGCAGGCAGAAAGTCCACCAGGCTTCGGGACCGGCACAGGGACCAGCCAGAGCACTGTGGGTGGGTCAGGGAGCACAGCCTCTTGCCTCTATGCAGGGGTGAAACCACCATGAGGGAGAAGAAAAAACGAAGGGATGATGATAGTTTCCCCCAGGTCTGCAAACCCCACACTGCTCCTGGCCACACAACCACCGCAGAGGCTGTGGAAGCAGCACGGAGCTGGTGTAGCAGCACAAGATGTGAGTGACCCCTACTTCTCCAGAAACCTCTGGATTCACTGGGTTTTGGGGTGAGGACACAGACCTTCCCTTCTCCAGCACAAATCTCCAGGAAGCAGCAATGACAGCAGATATCTAGGGGTCAGCCCCGGTGGGCAGGAACAGACCAGAGAACCAACATCCCTCCTGGAAAACCTTATCTGCTGCTTTTCTGTGAAACACATCAATCAGCCGAGCGCTGCCCTCGGGGCCCAGATGACGCATCTTGTTAATGAGACGATCTCTACTTACAACAAAAAGCCATTCAAACGAGGGAGGATTAACATGCAGGAAGGCACGGGACAGAGGATAATAACACTAATGACTTACCCTGTGCGGGTACTCTGCACACTGACCCTGTGAAAGAACAGGATTAAAAGGAAAGAGTTTAAACCACAAACAGAGGGGACTGAAATAGGCACACGGGGTCAGATCCAGAAGGTGTAAATCATTGTGATTATATCAAATTCAGTGCAGTTATACCAATTTGAACCCGACAAGCAGCCTGCCTCCTGTCACCTATCCCCTGAGCCCTCTGCTCTTGCTGTACTCCTCAGCCACTCACAGTCAGACCGAGCAGCACCAAGTCCACTGAGTCCCTTCCGCTCTTTACATTTAATTCTTAACACATCTCCCATTGAATTTACCTTTTCTCCTTTTTGTCCTGGGGGTCCCTATAAAAGAAAAGTGACGAAATAGGCCTCAGTAAATTAAGGAGTTCAGTGAATGCCAAGGGAGAGGGATTAGGGGGAGACATGGGATAGGGATGAGATGGGATACTTGGATACTTACAGGTTGTCCCCTGGGACCTGCAGCACCCTTTAAAGAAATACATATGTGAGCATGAGATGGTTTCCCATTTACAGTGACAAGAAGACAACAACTCTCAGTGTATGGAGTAGGTGAAAAACTCAGCTTTTAAAAACAGTTGTGGAGAAAACTCCCAAAAGAAGTCTGGGCTCCCTTTGTTACTCTGGAGGAGTAAAAATGCACACATGTTCTGGCTGCACTGCAGGGGGGAATTATTAAAAGGAGAGGGGAAAAATCATCAGGAAAACACACCCTTATTGTTCCCAGGACCTCAGTTGACAGCGCGGCTCCTCGGCCGACGCACTGGGATGGAACCAGAAGCAGCAAGGACTGAAGCCTGAGCTAGGATTGCACAATGGGAGTGGGGAGCAGGGATCTTCAACATGTGCTTGCCAGAGGGTTGTACTGACACTCGGGCTCAAAAAACAGAATTAGCAGAAGAAAACATTCAGCACTCCAGTGAGCGAAGGTGACTACAGAGCTGCTAGCTCGGCATACTCATGTTTGGGATTTCATCATCAGAGATGTCAAGAGGAACAAGACCGCATTTGGGCTTCCATCAAGTGCGGCCTAAGTTTATCATTTTCAACCAAATGCATTTTAAGAATGATGCACATATGAAACAGAGCTTCAAGGGGGGGGGGAACACATTTAATACAAAAAATATGGGGGTTTTGGTTGTTGTTAGATAAGTTGAAAGCTGCCAGATGGGTTTTGAGAAATCTTTCCATCAACTTTTACTTTTGCTATGAGGCCAACCACAAAAAATGTCAGCTCCCAGAATATATTTAAAGAACATAATTGCTAAGTGCAAGGAAAACACATCCCAGGCATAACTAGAGAGTTGCTGTTGTGACATGATGAATCTGATAGCCATAATGTAAAAATTACAGCCGTGCATCCCAGCACTGCTATTATGAAGTTACAGAATTAGGGATGCAGCTCGCGCATCAGCTGAACGAAGATTGCTACCCTGCCTATGAGCTTGTTTCCAGCTGAGAGGCAACATCATTTCAAACCTACCCATCACCTGCAGACAAACATGTATATTTTTACCGTCTCTCCCTTCTGTCCAGGATGACCCTGCAAAAGAAAGAAAATATGCATCAGCTTCGGCCACCACAGTCACTAGAAGATGTTGATTTACCCCGCTTCCCCCTTACCTCGGGAGGTACCTCCAAAGGGGGATGCAGCGCCGAGCTTTGCTCACACAACTAAGAGGACACGACTCCCTGCTACGCAGAATGCTCAGAACAAAGCTCTGGGGGCTGAATACAGGGTGAAAAGGCTCTGCAGGGCATGGCTGGGACACAGTTCAGCCCCCCTCGGGCTGGCAGAACAGCTTCTGCTGAGTGCAGTGTGTGCCCACAGAGCAGTACAAGAGAGAGGCTGCTGGGTCTCTCTTGGGGATCATGTTCCTCATGGCAAAAACAGGATCCTGCTGCAGGAAGTTAGATGCCAGAGGTATGAGCTACCAGCTCCTTTTCCATTGCAGCATGGCTAGAGGAAGTTGGTGGGGAACTTGGCTGTGTGGCTGCTACATGGAGCTGTGGGTTTCATGTCTGCTGGGTTCATGGGGAAGTAGCTGTGTTTACACCTGGCTCTCCAAAGGATGGGAAGAACTTCAGTCTCTCTACTACAAAGCTGATTATGAGGAGGCTCTAAGGACAGCATGGAGGTCTCATGGAGATCTTTAGGATCCTTCCCTCCTCTACTGCAGCTCTTTTCAGCAAAGCAGTGAAGAGAAAGATGCTGTAGAGTCAACTTCAAAGGAAGATGTTGGCTGAGGCAGAGGGCTGCTGCCTTGGGGACCTGCTCTGCCTGTCTGATTCAGGCTGGGAGTGCCTGCTAAGGCTTTCCCTGTGACGTGCTATTTTATAGATCTGCCTAGAAGGGAAGAGGCCACACTCTGCCTTCCCGAGTTCTCCTGACTCCTGCATCTCCCCCCAAGGCATCTGTGGTATCCTCCTACCTGCCAGTCTCCTAATTTTCTTTTAATCCATGCACGTGCATGACTTTGCAAAATAATCCCCTTAAAAACATACTGTATAAGACACAGGCTGGCAGGGCAGTGGGACCTAGCAGGAGGCAGGACAGGAAGCCTGCAGAGAAGTTGTTTGCTTACCGGTTTGCCATCCAAGCCAATAGGGCCCTGAAATAAAAAAGGAAAAATGATGAGAAGTGCTTTTCCCGGGGTGTCTGTCCATCTGCCCCAGGAAGCACCATGTGCCACAAGACTGCACGGACTGGGGTGAGGTGAGGTGACTCTCCCTGCCCTCTGGCCAGGTCCTGGCAGGTACCTGGCCCACTGAGTACAAGCCCAGATTCCCAATTGCTCCAGCAGGGACCTGCTCACTGTCAGCCCATTTCAGCAGCAATGCTGGACACAAAGAAGGGAAGAGAGGAGGGATTCATAGGCAATTTGCAAAAAGCCCTCAGAATTTAAAATCCTATGGTGTCCAGTAAACTAGTTGAAAATCAGCAGTTTTCTCAAGACTTCAACTTAAAAGGGCATACGCCTTTGGGGAAGAGGCATTTTTGCAAGTGATAGAATAATAAAAGTGTCCCCGGGAAGAGGTGACACACAGCTCAGCACATGCTGAAGGTACTGTTTGATGAGAAACAGGCTCCACAGAGCGCTGTCCCACTCGGCACTTTCTCATGAGCTGGGCTGATTTGTTTTCTGCTCCTCCAAAAGCCAAAGACCACAACGGCCCAGAGAGATCTGCTTCTCCCCAGCCCCGGGGCAGCTCACAGCCCCCCTTTCCGCACAGGGCATAGCCATGGAGCCTGGTCAGACAGCTCAGAGACTGCCAATTCCTCCCATTTTCCAGGCATGAGAGTCTCCCCCGCAGACCTGTTCTGGCACATCCAGTGTCCTGGAGCAGCAGCTGAGCTGCCTGGCAGGAGCAGGGATGTGGGGGGTGTTTGCCTTAGGCTCCCTAGTTGTCCAGGATAAATGCATATGAATAAATAGCAACCGTTTGAGTTCTCCAGCAGCCTCAGTGCTTCAGAGAGTGCTGCCAGCAGCTGTAGGATTGAAATGAAATTTGCTTTGTCCTCTCCTGGGCTTGTTCTCTGTTCCCTTGCCCATCTGCAACAGTGTTTCAGAAGAATTCCCTCTCATGTTTTATGTACTCTCCCTTTGGCATGACCAGGGTGTTCAGCCCAGCACAGTCCCCAGCTGACCCTCACCATGTAGGGCCCCCTTTGGATCCCAGGCACTTCCTGCTATTGGAATATCACCTAAAAGCTCAATTAAGGTTGGAATTTCATCTACCTAGGGGTTATTTTCTTTTTTGGGGGATATTTCTTAGGACGGTTTTCTTTTATCGAACAGATCTGGCTTCACCTATGTTATTTTAACACTTGGGGTTTTTTTTAAATTAATTTCCTTCTGGAGTTGTGTGGTTTGGAGTTTTTTCCCCCCTAAGTATCACTTAAAAGGAAAAAAAAAAGAAAAACAAATGAAGAAAGAATTACTTTTTCCAGTGATATCAGATCAGGTAATTGGTTTCAGGAAGAAATGATGAGATACAGCAGGCACTAATGAGGCTTCCTAGTAACATCACACACCCGTACCTCATAAATTAACAGTTACACTTACCGGGAATCCAGGAAAACCTCTTGTTCCAGGCTGTCCCTGGGAAGGATGAAACGGAGACAGCAGTTTAGAGGAACTGAAATGAATTTTGATAGACCCTAAGTCCTCTCTACAGAGCCTTTCCTCCAGCCTCTGACCAATTATCCTAGGACTCTCTGAAGAGACACCTAATTCTCCTCCAAGGGAAAGTGTCTTGGGAAGGAGGGGAAATCTCTCATCCCCACTCCAGCTTGTATAGGGCCAAGAAAATGCTGGAGCAGCTCCATTTTGGACTGCAAGCAGTTTCCTTGAAGTTTTTACATTAATTAAATGGGTGTCCCTAGCCCATATGCTAGGCTTTGGAGTATATTCCAGAGGCTGAGCTCATTTTATGGCAATTCTTGCTGCCATAAACCGGAGGCGTTTAATGCAGGGTGCTGCTCTGTGCAAGACAAGCCTCACAGATCACTGGTGTCTAAACACAACCATCCCCCTTCTCCTCCTCCCCTAATCTCAAGTCCCAGCACATTCATTTTCCTCACAAATAATTCTGGAGAAGAGATGATGTTTTTGTTTTCTGGTTTGTTTTTTTTTTTTTGGTTGGTTGGTTTTGGTTGTTGGTTTTTTTGGTTGATTGGTTGGTTGGGTTTTTTTTGGTCCTCTGAAAACTAAGAGAAAAAGGAGAGTTAGGCATTGCGACAAGAGGAACATGAGCACCAAGTCTTTTCCCCACCTCTTGCTAGCTAGCCAGAACTGGCTACCAGTTTGGGATCAGGTACAGCAAACACTGGCTTGGGATGTGTTTGGCAGCTTCTTCATCACCCACTTAAAAACACAGAAAAAAAAGAAAATGTCCTGGCTGTTAATTTTTCCCAGTTCTTCAGTTTTTGGGACCTGTGACACCCCAGGTCACAGTGACCGTAGATTTGTGGGTATCCAGTAAAGATACCACTTCACTTAGGGATTTTCAATCTCAAATTAAAAAAAATAAAAATTAAAAACTGTGTGAGCCAAGTCAGGAAGTTTATGGTCCATATGGTCCAGACTTCAGCAGATTTTGAAGCACTCATGTAGATGGAAGCAGCAGGATGAGGTAAATCCTGTACCATGCTCATCAGGTGACCACTGCGGCATCTTGCCTACCCTGAAAGCTCTGCTACGATGCCAAAAAGCCCAGGTTCCTTATGTACTCTCCCATTCTGGGGAAGAAAATGCTTTCTTCAGCAATTTGAGACACCACGACTGGACTGTTTGAGTCCCACAAGGGTTTCCCAGGAAAGAGCTATAAACAAGGGTGCAACTCTGCCTTAACCAGAGCGATCCCGTGTGGTGATGAGGGAAGGGAAGGGGAAGGAGGGGACGGGCCTGCTGGGCTGTGAGACTGAGGTTTGCCACAGTGAAGCAATAAGTATCCTTTGGGAGAGACCTCAGAGCTACACTGGCAGGGAAAACCTTTACCTTCAGGTTACATCTCCTCCCTCTCTCTGCAGACTCAGTGAATATTTAACCCTGCAGAGGATGGGGCCAAACAGTCCTTTTGCAGGGTTTGAGGGATGTGCCCGTTCCACAAAATGCCTCGTGTTGCACTGGCAGTTCTGGTTTTGTACACAATGCTAGCAGGAACTTATAACATTTGCACTGGCTTTTTAGCTCTGCAGAGTTGAACTTGGTCAGCTTTGCTTTGCAAGATACATAGAAAACCACCTGGTCCTGTTGGCCAGTGACCAGGAGGGAAGATAGGCTATAAATTAGAGGATCTGTCCACCGCTGGCTTCTGAAAAGGCAAGAAGCAAGAAGAGCCTAGCCACAATTCATTAGTTTTGGTTCCCGGTTGGACACTTCCCCGGACAAGAAGTGCTAAAAAAAGAATTAGGGAGAAAAACCTGGAAATGGTGCAATTTGGCTTCCTCTGTAGACTACAGACTGTTGCCTCTTTCTCTGGAGGACAACAGCGTGATTTGCACAGTATCACGCCAAGACAACAGTTCAGCAGTGAGTGATTCCAAGAGACTGTTTTTGTTGGGTGGCTGCTTTTCCTTGTCTTCTTTTTAAAATGTTGATTGTATGAAGAATGGAATCCTGGGAGCTGCCAAATCATGGAGACTGTCTGTTTCTGCCACTATCGCTGCACTGTCCCTCTCTGGCCAGAAGTTAAGCAGCTCTGAGCTTGAGCAAAAACTTCAACCTCCAAACAAAAATCTGGAAACTATTTGTCATCCCACGTCTTTCCGAGTGGCCCCTTGGCCAGGGTTTCCGTGTTTGTCTTCAGTGCTCAGCCATCCTTCTGACCTATCACCAGCTCCCCAGGAAACTGGATCATCTTCACAGTAGGCTTTGCAGCGGGAAAAGTGTGGAATTGTGCCAGTCCTGGCATATCAGGGCTTTGACTGGTGTAGGCAAAACCCCATTTTAGATACCATTTGCCATCTAAATTTTCTGCTGCTTTGAAGATGCAACGTGTTCTGCACTTTTGCAAACCACAGCAAAGGCAGCAGCACCAAAGCAGACATTAAAAACTGTTCTGCAAACCAGGCATGTGTCCTTCAAGAAACAGTGATGCCTGTCTCTCTCTGCAGGACCTACATGGACAGGGACTGATGGCTTTTCTCTCCGATTATTGTAACTACACTGTCCAGAAGACTGAGAGCCACAGCCTGGGAGAAACAGCAAAATCCACAGGACACTTACCCTCCAAAATCTGCTGTTTGTGGAGCAGGGTGGTCTTGCTCAGATCTTGGCATTGAGAGACCTGCCAGCTGTTCCTCCTTGCCTGGACATATGGCCAGGGACCATCTGCTGGGCATATTGTTTGGGTCCTGAGTTTTGGTTCTGTCACTTCTCAAACTCCAGCATCCCAGGCAGGTGGGTCTGGGAACCGGCAAAGCTGTTTGTTATTAGAAACACTTGCCATGGGGCTTTTGGAAAGTTAATTGGAAAGCCAGATGTAGCCAAGTGTTCTCACTGCCTAGGTCTCTCTCACTTGACCTCTGCTGTGAAACAAAGGCTCCAGCGGCCCATCCTCTCTGCAGGTCAAGGATGGTGCTCTTCACAGGTTAATCAAAATCGGAAGTGCCCACTGGGAGGGAGAGAATTGAATCTCCAGGTCTTTTTTTCATGGAAATCTCTGGTGGAGGCTGTGCAGGGATGGAGTGGAGAGGACTGGCTGCACCCTCACAAAAGCAGAGGCTTGCCGGCTGAACTGCAGTGTAAGAAACATCCAGCGTTTAGGGCATGTAAACACACTCCAACCCTTCAACTTGGTCTTTTTTTATGACCTTATCCTTGCAAAAAGCTTTGTCTGGCTGACTTGTTGCACCTTGCAGGGACACTTTTGCAGGAACAGGATGCATAATCCTGCCTGCACTTTCCTCATCGCCCCAGACAGCTAAGGGACTGCCCAGATAGCAGTAAATGTGTTGACAAAGAGTTTTCAAGATTTTGCATACTTGACAAGACCTCCAAACGACTCATCTTTGTGAGTTCGCCACTCATCAGCTTAGCTCTGATCCTGCTCCTTCATCAAAATCAGGGAGTTTGTCCCCTGCTGAAGAAACCAAGGTTGAGATCAGCCAGGCATTTTCTGCAAAAGTGGTAGCAGCCCTGTTGAAAGAAGAAAGGATGCTTCTTCCTTTTAAATGCAGGAATATGGTTTCCTTGCAAGGAAAGGCTTCCTTATTTGTTCTGGAGAATGAGCTGTAATTTCATTATATATAGTATATAATAGCAGTATAAAACCAAGGCTGGCTCAGTATGGGAACCACATTATACAGGGTTTTTGCTCTTTCCAGCTGATGCTGTGTCTTAGTGCCCCTCCTCAGTCTTTCCCAGTAACCTGCCCACATCCTGCATCAGCCAAAAATAGAGAGAAAAAGCCACTTACAGGCGGACCACGGGGCCCGATGATAGACATGCCGGCTTCTCCTGGAGCACCCTGCAGAGACACGAGGGAGAGGAAGAGGAGTGAGCAAAGGAGGAAAGGAAAATACAAAGACAATGATACTCCTGTCAAAACTGGGGTTAAATGAGGGTGCCTCAGATGTGAGACCTTCAGGGCTTATGGGGCAGCTGCCATTCTGGCCTCCCCCAGCTCTTGCCTCACACTTTAGGAGAAAAGAGATGTCATTTGTAGTCGCTCAGAAGTGCCAGAAAATGGAAGCTGCACAGCAAGGAGAACTATAAACACATAAAACACTTTCTGGCAAAACAAAGGTTCTGCCCCATTGCAAGTGTGAAAGATGGCCTGAAACCCTTGCTGTTTCCTTACTGTGAGTCCAGGAGGACTGTGTCCTGCAGAAGAAAGAAAAGGAGGAGGGAGGTACTGGGCTTCAGGGAAATTGGAGCTGTGGGCAGTTTGTGTACTTCTCAAACTCAGCTGAGATGTGGATGAAAACAGAGCAAAGTGCTTGCTGGAAAAGAAAACAGCTGCCTCTCCAGCTCCTTGCCACCCATGGCGTGCGATGGGCAAGACATGTCCCTCTCTCTGGAAAACAGTGTACTCCTGAGAGGCAGTTCCAGAAGTGCCCAGGGCTGGGGATCTTTGGGATGGAGCATCCCATAAACCAAGCAGCCTGCAAGCAAGCAGAGCTCTCTGCAAAACAAAGCTGTGGCCTGCCAAAGACCTAGGGCTCTCACAGAGTGCTTTGGGGAAGCAGGGACAATGGATTTTTTCCACTGTTTGTTTGTATGTATCTGCTGTCCCTTCATGTTGAAAACTTTGGCCAGAGAAAAATGCAAGGACATGCAGAGAAAAAGCAGGATGGCTTCAGGTGGGGAAATCTTAGTCTGTTGGATAAGGTTGGTTGGCTCCAATGAGCAAGCAGTGAAAGCAAGGAAGGAGAATCTCTCTCCTACCTTACCCTTCCTTGTTGTATTTTTCTCTCTATCTACTATGAAGAGGAGCAAATAGGCCTGGTATGGTAGCGCACAGGTGATGCCCCTGTCAGGTGAATATTCATCCCTTTCCTAATTCCTACATATTGTTACTCAGTTATTCACACACCCCAAACACCTCCATTTCCCTGTTCTCACAGGTGGGAAGTACTCACAGCTCTGGGGAAAATACGCTAACACTGACATGTCAAAACAGGGGCCAGCAGTAGGGTGCTTTGCAAACCACCAGTTCTTTGTGGGCACAAAACACCAACTCATTACACAGCAAGCAGTCTTTGAGATGGTGTCCCACTGTGTCAGAAATAGAAGAACGCTGTGCCATTTTCTTCCTTGCTCCTGCTTGCACCAGGGATCAGGCTAACCTGGGAGGTGGAGGGGAGCTGCAGGTTGATTAGGTCAAGCAGAGCTGCCAGTGGGGAAGAAAGTCAATGGTTAAAACCCAGGAAGCCTGGAGGGAAGCCCTGCGTGTGCCCGCTGGCTCTTATGCTGTTAGTAAATTGTCATAAACAAGAAACGCAGCGTCTTCAGAGGCTGAGTAGCCTGGAAGGAATTTGGGAAATATACTTGCACTGACACGGAAGATGGGGCAGCCTGGGGGTGTGGAAGCCCAAAGCTGACTGCAGTGGTCATGACTGTGACCAGGGAGCTTGGGCTGGCCCTAGAGGAGGCCCTAGAGTCTAGGGGTGCTACAGGCTATGAGAAGCTGACTCACCTTCTCTCCAGATTGCCCTTTTAGTCCCTGGGTCAGTGGCACCCACCGCAGCCACATGCAAGAGGGTGCAGGGAAGAGAGAGAGAGAGACAAACACAGGCATCAGCGGCAGGGGCACGCTCTCCCGCCCCAAAACCCTGGCTATGGGGTTGGGATGAGCAGGGTGGCCTCAGCTCCTGCCCCCCCCCTCCTCCCCATCCTCATCATGGGATGCCTGAGCAAGGAGCAGCTCCAAAATACAGCCCTGAGCCAGGCAGGGGATGGTCCCCGTCACTCAGGGCAGAATTATCTGGAAAGGGCAGCTGCTGGTGGCAGGCAGGGGTGCGTGTTAGCAAGCCCACAGTTAGCAAGCCTGGCCAGCACACGAGGTGGAGCAGGAGGCACCCAACCAGGGGGATGCTGAACCAGAGGAGGACCTGGATAGCACAGCAGAGGGAATGGAAACACCCCTCCTGGCACGTGTGTGGCTTGCAGGGCTGGTCACCCTGCAGCAACAAGGGGAGCCCCTCAGGTGTGGGGCTCAGAGAGAACACTGACACCTGCCAAGGACCATCCTGAAAGCTCCCCCCGCCAAATCCTGGGGGTTGGAAGAGAACGGGGAGGATAAGGCACACACAAGAGGTTTTGACTTACCGGCCGCCCAGGGATCCCCATCGCACCTTTGTCTCCCTGGCAATTAAGGCAAAATCAGAGGCAATTGGTAACTAACCAAAAGCAAGGTTATAAAACAGCACAATGAAGTGTGCCACAGCAGCAGCTTTGTGCTGTGGTGCAAGTGTCGAGGGATTTTGAGGGGTAGAAAGAAAGTTAAAGAGAGGAAAGTGCATTTGCGTGTGCCCAAACCTGTCTTTAAGAACATGTGTGAGCCACCAGTTCATGTGTATATATGACAAACCAGCAAATCTCACAACAGAAATCACACACTGCAATTTAGGCAGCAAAAGAAGGACAAGAGTCTCCAGTCAAACAAAGTGTAATCCCAATTTCCAACACTTCATAAAACTCAGGTCCTGGGAACTGGCTTCCTGAAGTAGCCAACTGTCACGTTTTTCTCTTTCTTGACCAAAGTCAGCTGGGTGTTAGCTACTTATTTATAGACTTATCACTTTGAAACACAATTCTCTTAGACTTGAAAATACAGTCCTGTCCAGAAGCAACAGAAAAATGTGAGAACACAAGCTGACACAGGAAAAAGCATGTCTGGAAGAAGACATACGAGCAGCTGTGTTCAGTGTCCTCTACCCCTTTGAGTTACTTCCCAGTGCGTTGTCAGGGTGTGAACGATCCCAACAGTGGTTTTGGGAATGACTGTGGGTCAGGAGACACTGGACAGAGACTCGTAAACACATGAACGCAGGACTGGTGGCAATTTTCTTCAGCCACTTACCTACAAGGCAGTTTGCTGCCTCTTGCAGTTAAATTTAACTATGCAATTAAAAAAAAACAAACCACCCCCCTCTGCATTCCTGGTCACCAAAACTGAAGGCTGTGCAGATCTGGAAGACAGCAGCTCATTGCTAAAGGATCTTGATGATTATGGCTTCAGCAGTCATGCAGCTTCTGCTCTATATTTTGCAAAAATGACATGATAATAATCTCTCAGTTCTGTTTCCAGCAATGTTTGGGGTTTCCTTATGTAAAACAGAGTTTTCCTGCCCATGGCTGACTGTGTCTGTGGGCACAAACCTGGTTTTCTGGTTTCTGCAGCTGGAGACACCGGCCTCATCAGTGCCACCTCTTCGTGCCTTCCCCCACATTCAGCCCCGGCGCATGTGAACGTACTCTGAAATCTCTGGAAAGGGAAGGCACTTCACTATATTCATTTTTCTGGGTGTACACAAAGGCTCTTCTGGTTGTACAACCCAAACTCCGACATTATTGCCTGGGATCAAACCATTCCTTGGTGGAAGTTTAGCCACTTCCCTCTGTGGAGCTGTTCGGTGTGGGGAGCATTCCTTCCCATGCAGCCCATGTTTTGATAAACTGAAGAGCAATACATGCTTTGCAAAAGCATCCCTTGCAGATGGATCAAACGCTAAACAGCTGCTTGATTTTAAATTTTGTCCATGATATATTATGGGAAACTGCTTTCTTCCAAGGTTTTAGGCGGGTTCTCAGTCCTGCTAATATTTGCCTATCTCTGTGTGCCAGCAGCAAGCAAAACTCCTGGTGTCAGCATCTTGCCCTGGGATTCCTTTGTGGCTGCTGGAAAACGTAACGCTGAGCTTTCCTCTGCTTTTAGTCCCTTAAATGCTGCTTTCCTCCACAGCTGAGCCCAGGCTGATCTCCCTCGTGGTTTGAGGTAAAAGCTGAGTTAATTTCTCCTGGCTCTGCTGTGGCTGGTGCCTGAACAGGAAGAGCCCAAGGTCGGGGCTGAGCCGTGTCAGGTCTCCCGTGAGTACCTGGTGTCGGAGTGGTACATGACGGCACCGTATCTGGTATGTGACTGCACAGCATTACAGCCCTCCGAGCAACAACAGCAAAGGGGGAGCTCCCAGTAGGACAGCAAATACATGCCAGATGTTTATAAGGAAAGGTTGTCTGTGACAGGGAGCCAGGAAAGAGCACTCGTGGGTGGATGATACCATGTAGGTTGGTTACAAAGTCATGCAAAGCCGCCTGAAGCTCCCACATTGGAGCTAGAGGAGCACAAACAGCCTCTGTCCTGAGTCAGGGGAGAGCCAGCAGCACAGTTTGCATTTCCTTCATTAGGAAACTGCCTGTTGCAACTCGTGCAGTCTCCAGGTGAGCAGCAGCCTGGGGAGCAGGGAGCCATCACCAGGAAAGCACACAGCTCTAACTCCAAAACCCACACTCCTTCCTCACTCATGACTAACTCAGATGCAGATACTGTTATTACAGACTTTTGCATTTGTCCCAGAGTGACTTAGGCCTTCTAAATCTTGCTGCAACTAGCAAGTCCCATCAGCAAGAATACTGCACACCCCGCCTCTTCGACCAGACTCTTAAGCTGACAAAGGTATCTTCAAAAGTAGTGTTTCCCACACACAGGAGGGCTCATGGGGATTATGTTACCCTCAGGTTTGGTCCTACAAAGCTCCTGCAGTCCCTGTTCTGTATGAGCCATGTCCTGTTTGCAATACTCTGTTCCACAGCACATTTTCTATGCCAGACTTACTTCTCCCAGTTTACGAACGCTGGAGGCCTCCTGATCAAAGTACTACCAGACAGAGAGAATGAGGGGATGAGACGGAAAGAATGAAGTACCTACTGGGAGCCCAGGCCTTTCTGTGAGGCCCTGGGACAAATACACAGAAACAGCAAAAACTACCTTCAAACTCTGAAGGGAGGGCTTGATAAAGAGATGAAATCACATGGAATGGTTTAGGAAACAGAATGGTTAAAAAACTCTCCACAGCTCCTTGACCATCAGCTCTGATTGCTTTGGTTTCCTAATCTCCTGCTTGTGAAGTTTTCTCTCCTTTTGGCATGGCTCTGCCCACAGCTCTCTGCACGGGCTCCGAAGGTATCTGCAACTCCATGGAGAACAAGCTAATTACAGGGCTTTGACTTTCTTCATTACTTTCCATCTGCTAAATATTATTTTTTCATGTATGGAATTGCTGCAGTTGCCACAGAAATGTTGCATGATCAGAAATGGGAGAGAAAATGTCCATGAGAGGATCTTCTGCTTCGGATGTGGTCCAGACAGTGAAAGAGTCTGGAAACCTCTGGACTATTGCACGATTTCATCATTTCCTTCCTTCCTTTGCCCCTTTTAGTCTCAATCTCACCAAATATCTTACGTGACTGCGGGTTGCCCTTGCCTTCACCAAAGCCTCAACTGACTTCACAAATAAGGGGGGGGAGCATCAGTTGGGCAAGAGGAGAGCATGGAGACCCCTTCTGCTGCTGTGATGTTGCTCATCCACTTCCCTGGCTTTTCTCCTCGTTGTCCTAGACTACAAGCAGGTTCCAGTGCATTTCTAGTGAGAATTTCTGCCCACCTCCACACTCAAGCCAACACCAGCACTGAGAGCTAAGCCCTGCCACACTGCACACTGTGTTTTGCAAGATGGAAAACAAAAACAGGAGAGAGATGTGAGGTGGTCAGCACTTTGGGGTTGCTCTCCAGAACAATGCATATGACAGTCAGCCAGGCAGGAGCCCAGGTCTGTTTGCTCATAAACCCATTGCCATTTTAATCACAAGAAATATGAGGGGGAAAATATTTCCTATGGTGACATGGAGGATTCCATTTGGCTCTTCAGAGGTGAACTTTCGCTCACAGTGGTTTCGCTCACCAGCCATCAGAAACCCAAGAGGTCCTGAATGAGATGAGGGTGCTGCTATCCCAGGACAAATTCCACCTTGGCTAACGACATGCAGTCTGCCTGACTTCCTCTTATTATTTCCATTGGCTGTAGCACTCCTTATGGCCTGTCCTGGAAGTCTGCATGCGGAGGCAGGTTCAGGGGTCGCAATAAGCCAGGATACAGTAGCAAATAATGTCAGCACTTCTCCGGTGGTCTCATGTGTTTCTGCCAGGCTTCAATCTCTCATTACAATATTAGGTTTCTAACCCTTAGTGCTGCAGAGGAAGCCTGGAGCGTGCGTCTTCCTCACCCCACAAGGCACCGACTGCTCTCTAGGAGATGTCTGTGCTGAGCTATTAATTTCTCTTTAATTTCTCACAGCAATAACAGACATACCAACACCACTACCAATTTTGTGCCCGCCCGTCTATTTAATGCCAACGTCTGGCTACCCAGGCTGGAGTAGGAGGGACAGCCATGGACGGACTCCACTTGCAGCCCCCTCCAAAGCAGTGCTTTCTTCCCAAAACCCCACAGCTAATGCTGAAATACATCCACTTCTGTCCTTATCCTCAAAGCCCCTGGGATAAGCTGAAGGTTTGTGTGGATCAGGGCTTCCAGCTGTGAAACACTTTCAGACCTTTTGGCCTAGAAGGTGCAACTTTTTGGAAGATTGTTGTCATTAAATACGTCTGTGTTCGTATATCTGGGGGAGTTCAGTCTATAGCATTTCAGCTTGATGAAACAGGAAAGAAAATAGGTTGTGCACAGCAACTACTCCTCAGAACGTCATCTGCAAACTGTTTAAGACATTTTTGCATGAACAGACAAAAGATGACTACCGTATGTTTAACTTCTCATGTTCCTCCACAGAAACCCACTATAGTCACTCTATTGTACACGAATATAAACCATTTCCCCTGGAAGGACTGTACTAGAGACAATATAGTGTTTCTTTATAATCCTGAGAGATACATGGCCTCAGTCCTTGCATTGCTGCTGCTGGTTCACTGTGGGTCTCTTAAGAGCTACAAGAAAATTTCTGCAATAACCTAGCTATTTTCCTGAAGCCTAAATCATCTGCACTGAGGTTTTACATTAGCTAACATTTGAAAAGGAAGCTGTCAACACAATTTTTCCTTGGAAATTGATAGCTGTGCAGCTATACTTGAGAGCCCAGCAGTTCAGCCAGCCTGGGTGAAGTAGCAGGGAACAAGTCCCTCCAGCTCAGCTCCTGCCATGTGTTTGTGATCTGTCTTTCTCTTTTTTGCACACACGTCTTGTTCAGTGTGTGGCACCCAGTGCATGTGAAGCACATGCAGGCGGTTCCCCCGGGGTATGTGGGGCCAACTGGTAACACACAGACACCTGTACCACATGGGTTTGCTGTGTCCCCATCCCTGGCTCACTCTGTCTCCCCCTCACAGGCTGAATTGCAGGCAAGAGCAATCCCACTCCAGTATAGATCCTGACAACCCACAGTACTTGCTGTTTGGGAGATCTCAGGGTACCAGGACTGCAAAGTTGACTACCACACCAGACACCACAGACAGGAGACTGTGCCAGTTCATGCCCCACAAACTCTGTGTCAACAGCTTCTAAAACCACAGAGGTTTGGTACTTACAGGCGGACCTGAAAGAGAGGAAAAAAATGAACAATCATTAATTATTTTAATGTAATAAATGCTAACCAGAAGGACTAGATAAAAACATTGCACCATCTTTTGGGGTTGATCCTGAGGCTGCTCCCATTTGCTGATGCACTTTCACCAACTCTCTGTTTGTTAATTAAGGTATCCCCACAATTAGCAGCTGCTAATAATCACTGAGTGCAGGGCAGCCTCTGACAGCCCTGTGTCAGGAAGGCCATGCAAGTCAAGCTCTTGACGCTGTTACACACAGTTTTGGTCCTTCAGCACACGAGTGGGGGGCTTGTTACTTGTGTGACTCCACCTCACATCCCTGCCACCCCTGGGGACTGAAAAAGTTGAATCTAGGGAGGCAAGAGCCCCTTTGCTGCTAAAATTCCTATGCACTTCCCATCAGCATTGGTGATCTTGCAAAGGTGTGAAAAGGTAATTAGGAAACTACAGCTATTAAACGTATCAGGTATCTTTTCTCTTTAATACAAGCACATTTTCCCCTTTGCTTCTGCCTATGTTCCAATAGAAGCCAATCTTGCCTCTTGGAAGAAATTCCCTGAAATCCTTTGGGTTTCTTTTATTTTGGAAAGCTTTTTGGAACCTGCGAGTGCTGCAACTCCCTTGTACAGAACAGTTGTACAGTATATATCAGGGCTTAAAGAGCACGCTTCTTTCATCAGTTCCCAGAAAATTCCTCAAAATCCTGACAGATATTGTGTGTGTGGAAAGAAACCCCTGGACTCACTATTTTGTGGTTTCCTCTCTGTGGGAGAAGCAAGACACACCATACAACTGTCAGGGGCTTCTACATTTTCCATACTTTATAGATACTCTTGTTTTCTTTTTTTTCTCTATACAGAGTGCCAAGAATTAGGGCTAAGCAGTATAACAGGCGAGCTGACAGATAACAGGCAGCAGCCTCCTCCTTGCACGGGAGGCGGATGTCACAGTGAGCACCTGCGGAATACGTCGTCATCCTGAAAATGCCCCTGGCTGAAAGTCCATAAAAGAAACCGGAGACTCTGGATGAACAAACGTTTTCCACATTGGAAATCTCTCACTTAGCATGACTCTTTCATACCAGGGGCTTCAGCAAATGGTTTGGCTATCAAGCTTTGGTGACCTAAAACTGCCCTGTCAAATGCCACTGTTAGACACAGCTTTCATCGTGGTTCATTTAGGTTACCTCTAAAGAGTACCTTTGGGTTAAAAAATAATAAAGCTTAGCACCTTCGTGATGACTGACAGACAGAGCTAAGGTCAACACTCACAGCCAGAAGGCTCAACAACTCAACTCCAATCAAATTTAGGACAGGATCTCAGGGGCGACCCAGATTTGGTTGGTCTGGCAATTGCCCCACAACCAGTGTTGATGCTGAGGTCAGTGTCCTACTTGGTACATCAAGTCTAAACAACAAAAGGGTTCCTCATCAGAGAGTTCATTTTGGAGGGCAAGGTCAGACTCACATCCAGGAATCCTAATTTATGCCAGACTGGGAGAAAAAAAAAAAAAAGAAAGTTTTCTGAGTCTGGCTTGGGTGACAATGAAGTTCTGTGAGAGAACTGTTCTGGAGAGATTTTGTTTCAGAGTGAGCGCCCTGTCACAAGGTCAATGCTTATGGCTTGCCAATACACGGACTTTATTTCCATTAGTAACACTGCAGACCCTTAATAACCCGCCTACCTGCCTGCGTGGGCTTGGGGCACTCACGACTTGCATGAGCCAAACTACTGAGCTAATATTAAAAGAAAAACTTAAAGACAAGCAAACCCTGAGCCATCCCTGCCCTTCTAGCCCCAACACACCCAGCCAGCAGCACAGCCTGTAACGGTATTGCTATTACCACTGCGAGAAAACATAAGCTCTTGTTTGCTCCAGAAGCTCTGTCCACAGAGCGGAGTAAATCAGCACTGCCAGCAGCTCTGGGCCCACCAGGCCACACACCCCACACAGATCAAAGGCAGGAGGCATAGTGGAGGCCCATCTCTGTTATATGCCCTCTATAAAATTAATGGTTCTGTGAAGGGGGGACTGCACAGTCTTGTGTAAACACACATCAGGGAGCTGCAGGGACAGAGTCTTGGCTGCAATAAGTCAATTGGTAGAGACCATCCAGGGACTGGGCTTCAAATGCTGGGATCGTCCATGTGACCCAGGAGAAAGCGAAGCCCCCAGACAGAGTCATTTCCAAAAGCAACATCATCTTACATGGGCTGGAGGAGGAGGAAAAGGGAGAGGAGGAGGAGGCAAGATGTCTCAAAGACAGCGGGGAGGGAGGAGGTGTTGCTGGATAAGCTGTTGCAAAGCACTGGGGATTTTACAAAGCAAAATAAAGCTTCAGCAAAATGCACTGGTCATATTCTGTCCCAGTGATAAACAAGAAGGTGGAGCAGAGGTTATAAAGTGTATTCTTAATAAAACAAGTAGTAAAGGCACATTAGAGGAAAGAGCTGGCAAAGGAGGACAGGGATATGTGCACCTCCACCCCCAACTGCTCCAACCATTGGTGGTCAGGCTGAGCCAGCCCCTCCTGGGCAGTGCACTAGACTTGCCCCTGGCCAGAGGTCTGGCCTGGTCAGGGACGCTGACAACTCTGTAAGCCAAGGGGGCAAACTCACAAGTCCACCAGGCTTCATGGGAGCCTTCACGAAAGCCACCTGAACTGCAACAGAGTCACCACAACACCACTGCACGTTGTCCCTCATGTCACCAGTGTCCTGCATTCCCAGCCAGACTGGGGCAGCTGTGTTGAAACAGGCCTGCTTGCCCCCAGGTGGGCCAGCTCTTGATGGTGGTGAACTCCAAAGAGCTCCACAAACAACCAGGAGCCAATATTATCAACAGTCACAAGTACAAATCACGCCTCTGGGCGTTCCTCCTCTCCCTACAGCAGGCTCTTTTGGGGTGAGATAGTGGTGGTGCTGCATAGGAGAAGAGCTAGATCCCCTTTCCATACAAACAGTCAACAGAGAAGAGACAATGAGTCAACAGAGCAGAGATCAAAGCTACCGCGAACATTTCTAAGCCCATTCCATAGCTAAGCCCGGGCAGCAGGCAGACCCAGAGCTCCCAGACCACCAAATCCCTCAGCCGTGCACAGACAGAGAACCCCCATTTGTAATTAGCACCTCCAGATGCCGTGTGTTTTGAACCTGATCTTGCTGGGCCTGGAGCGATGCTGGCGCTGGCACGTGGGCCGAGCACGGCTGTCCGCCCACGACGGGCAGCTCAGGAAGCCTCTCTCCGTGCCGGCGCCTCGCTGGAAGGCACCGGAGGGCTGTAAGCACTGGATCGCTGTTTATCCAGCTGCAGGGCTCAGGAGCAGCGGGGGACGGAGGAGGGGACGGAGAAAACGTGTCGGGAGTGGATGAGTGGGAGGAAGCAGCGGTCTCCTGCAAAGAGGAGACCCCCAGAGCACCTTTGAAACTGAACATTGAGAAAACAAAGAATTCTTGTAGGGGTACCCGGGGTCCCTCCAAACATATGGCCTCTGGAAATTAGCACCATCTGCACTGTCCCTTCTCAGCTGCTCTGGTTTTTATGCAGACAAGCTTTTCTTAAAGCAGCTCTGCCTTCCCTGTAGCCCAAATGAGTAAATGGGCAGCCACGGTCTGCAGATAGGCTAAACCCACCTTACTGCAGATACAGAAGGGACACACCTGCGATGAACAGCAAGGCCATGCCACAGAGCCCTCTCCTCACCTGACCTTCCACATGGCCCGTTCAACCAGTGACTAACGAAAACAGAACTATAAGGAACCCTTTGCTCTCACCCACGCAGAGAGATAAAAAGCCACCCTCCATGCTGTACCCTCTTCAGCCTCACAAGAGGGAATGCTTAGTTTTGTTAAGTGGGTCATATTTATCCTAATCTGGAAAGTCCCGTGTTCCAAAATAGCAGATGTTAAAAGATGGACGTATTGGAGCAGGTCAGTTTGGTAAGAGACCTTCCGCTGATGGCAGAGATATCCTCCAGCTTGAGAGACAGCAATGCTCTCTGGACCAAAAGGATCATTGAAATGATCCCATCCATTTAAGGGCATTTCCTGCTGTCTGGAAAAATGTCCATTCTAAAAAGGCTCTCAAATGCTGGAGCTTTTTTTTTTTCTCTCTAATTTCTTGGATTCAGGCAGTACAGTGCCTGCAATGTGGGTGTCTTCCAGCCTGCTCCAAAAGCTCACACACAAGGGATTTTTTTTCCCCCCTCTTTAGCTTACACAAGATGAGGAGGACAGAGAGAGAACATGAAGACATTATTGTTGCTTACTTGGGTCATCCGCACTACACACTCTGGCAGCAGGGAAGATGTAAACATGTAATCCATCCCTGTGAGGAAATCCAGCCATTTCACAGACCCAGAAGGCAGCCTTAGCGAGTTAGAGAGATACAGTTACTTCCTGACATTCAGGACTATGTTAATTGATAATAAGATAGCTGTGGCCAGGCAATTAGTTATGAAATGCTGATTAAAATGTCAGTGGCCTCAGCATGACCTTATCCAGGGTGGCCTGGATCCCCTCGTTCCTGGCTCCATGGGTGTCCAGTGCAGAGTGATCCCATTTTGGAGCAGGCAGACCCCAGTTGGGTACATGGAGCCCAAATGGTGGCTTGGGCCTGTTTTAGAGACTGGCCACGCTACAGTTTTCAAACAACACACCTACAGTACTCATAGCCATGAAGAGCCATTTTCCCCATGTCCATCCGGGGGCAAATGATACAAGGGGAGGCAGAGGGACGTTAACTCAGAGAGCTTCATTATTAGCTGCAGGGGAAATTAAAGACAAGAAAAATCTTGAAAATAATAAGAAAAATTTTAAGCAACAGTGACAACCCAAAGCACAACCTCCAGAAATTTTGCTTCAGGTGTTGTCAGCAGTAGCAGCCAATCTGAGTTTATAACTCACTCCAGAGAGTGCGAATCCCTTGCAAAGGCCAGGCCCCCCCGTCCCCAGAACACTCCCCTCTCGGCTACACCCTTGCAGAGTGGCA